TTAACAATGTACAATTCCCAATTTTTTTAATCACCCAAGCATTTTAAAATAGTATGATTGTAAAGCCTTCATATGAGTTAGAGTTAATTTTATTCCGCTTAAAGTTATAACTTAAAGACACATGTCTTTTCAGTCTGTAGGCGATTCACTCAGTGTGTTTAGATTTCTGCTATGGTATTACGGTTATTATTATTGAATTTATTCACGTAAAGTATAAGCGGTATTTACGAATGTTGGTTTTCCAATAAATTCTACGTTAAATAGATAAATTATTATATATAATTTGCACAATCTAGTATATAATATCAACTAATATCGCATCACCGACAAAATTAACTCTGACGACATTTACAAGGATCGTGACATCTTTTTTTCACATAAACCTTGCAGTAGCAACACTGTTATGTCATTCGACAGCTTGCTTTCCTGTCATTTCTACCTGGCAACTTGCAGTAACTACACTTAAATGTTTGCTCCTACACATTCCTTCACTCAGTCTGCCTCTGCCTAAATAGTGTTAATAAAAGGTTTTAGTAAGCGGTGGAATTAGATCTTTTTTTTTTACAAAAATCTATAACCAACAGTGACCAGCCGACCAGTTTCACGAAAGAGATTACTGGAAAATCAATCTCACAGAGTGAGCGTGAATTCATCCAAAAAAAATCTTTGCTAACGTACAGAAAAGAATACCTCGTTTTACGTTACATTGTTGGAAGGAAAAGGAAACAATCGTTTGAGATGTGATGACTAGAGGTTCCCTAGAAAAAGTAATGTTTTCATATTTATGGCTCGCTCCCTTTTGTGTCACTCAAAAACGAGTTGTTGCCAAACTCGAAAATTTTCACAAAATGCGTTACAAATTAAACCCCATCGATGATAATCGAGACAAACTATGAGAAACTACTAAATATAAATTTTCACATATACACAATTTTAATCGTTAAGCCGCGACATCTGAGAAGTCGCTATTTGAGAACCAGCTCCTCACTGAACGGCTTGCAATGATTCGAGGCTTTGCGAGTTGCTCGACACAAAAGCACAATGTATCCATGAAATATACGGATTTCCATTTCGTTCTTTTCATAGTTCTACGCGGCCATTTCAATCGAAAGTGTCGTCATTTCCAATTCTTTTAAAACCGCAACGGACAGTGCTGACGCCAGACTAATTTGTCTAAATATTTACCATAGCAAGAACAGCAACGTCTGTGACAAACCTCTCTAAAGAGAACACTACTATGGTTTGCCTATTGACATTTTTGAACTAGCGAAGTGAACACGACGTTCTAATATTGAATAAATAGAACTTTTAGATCAAGCAAAAACAATCATACAGCGTCGAAAGGTTAAATTGGAAGTTAACAGAGGTTTTCCTAGAAAATATACCTGACTGCGGTGGATAAATATTGTGTCTAGTGTGGACCTTGGTGAAAAGCAAATTAAAATTTGATTTCGAAGTTATCGTGTCAAATACAAGAAAATCGATTTAATAGATTCCGTCCTGCTCTAAACTAACGTACGTGCTGAAAAAGTCTTCTGAATCAAATGCACAATACTCGTATAACAGTATGTAAATATGTAGCATGCGCAACTTAATCTGACCAATCAGTATGTTATCTGTAAAAACAACACAGCTACACTATCTATAAGAAAGTTCAAAAAGTCGCTATCAGTTTCATCAATCGCCATTATGATTATATGGATAAGATTGACCAACTGAATAATTTCATTAAAATAGATTACTTCGAATCGCAAGCTGACCTTAATGTTGAAATCTGTTTCTCATACGTCAGAATACTTAGGTACCAAGCAAATGGAACAATATTTGCAGTCCATCATACCTTTGAACTAACTAGAAGTATTTACATACCTATAAAGCGTAATTGTATATAAGCTGAAACCTTTTTATGCTTTGCTTTTAAGATTGTATTTAAGAAGAAAAAACATTTCACAATTTTCCTATTTATATATCAAAATTTTCAAAAAAATCCTAGAAGTGTTACTCTTGATGGCTACGTTTATATTACACAACGGTAGTTTCAATTTAGAACCTGAAGCTTTCACTAGCCAATTTAAAAATATTCCTTTTCGAAACAGCAAACAGTAATTGTGCGTTAAGGGATATTGCTAGGCATAAACTCGCCACACCGATGCTCAAACACGATACATACAAAAAAGTCCGCCGGAACTAAGTTTCAAGCTGACAAAAGGCCAAACAGTGCAAAAAGGCGTAAAAAGGCTAATAATGGAAATTATCTGGATTACTCAGTTAACAACTGATTAGTAACAAATTATGAAACTGCTTTGTGAGTAATTTAAATAAATGTTTGAATCCCTTAAATCTAAAACCTATCGGGGATCTGTTGGACTCAGATTCCATCTTCGGACTTTCCAAAAGCCGCATGAAGACTGGAAATAACATAAACCGTTCATTTCGGGCAAAAAATATTTTTTGTCCAGCGCAAAGTGACTGAGCGCAAGAGAGAATATGTCACTTCCGCTCAAATTACGAAAATAGCGCATTAGTTCTTACAAGGATGAATTTTCTGTTTTATTTTTGTAGAAAGAACAGGCTTTATTCTACTACCAAAAATGGCGGGAGACCACATGCCCATTATGACAAACGGCTCGCTAAACTTTTAACCCAATTAGGTGCCATACTTCGTTTAGTAAAACCGTGAACTATACTTAATAAGCATGCTTAATAAAATCGACTAAACAGACTTTTCCTGCCTGATGTTTGCGCCTGCGAAAGTCGGGTTATTTCTTATTTTCTCAAAACGAAACAATTTCTAAGGCTCACCAATATATATACATATTGCAAACCTAGTCATTTAAAATTTCATAGCCTTCGGAGTGAAAACAATTGTTTATGTAGTAGGTGTGACGTTTTCCCACTCTTACTCCTTTGACGCTTTTTTTTTGCTAACATCCAAGCGAACACGCTTGTTGTCTGCTCGTTAGAAATTCTGAGGACGGTAAGTAGAGTCTTCTCATGCTGCTATCTATTACCACCCGTAATTCGAAATTAGTTCTATTAGTTCATTCTTTGATTGTTATGGAATTCTTTAGTTCGTCAAAAATAATGTAAGTAAGCTTCAGCAATCTTTTGCCAAGGCTCTATTCCAAAGGTACCAATACCATAAGATCTATTCCAATACCATAAGAAATGATAAAGTTCGGTTCTTTTAATGAGAGGATGCAACGTTGGGCGATATTGTTGTTGCTAGACATGAAAATGCAAACAGATATGACATAAAGCTTGTAAAAATTTAAGAATTATGACTACAATTTAAAAAAAGAGGGTTCTTATTTATAGAAGAGACCTTATTATTTCAACCTGTCCCAAATAATTTGGCTAAAATGAAAGAAAAAGGTATGTTTTCTAATTAACCAGACCTTGTAAAAGGAGTACTGCAAACGAATTAATTTGGTTTTAAGATATACGCATATATGCATAAATCCAAGCTTTAGCTATCCCGCTTAAAGCGCTTGTCCCCTTTTTAAATCTTTATTGCTCCGGCGGGCGCTGTGTTAGAAAATTCTACTTGTAAGGAACTATAGCGTAAGAAGTACCGCCCGATCCGTAAAAATTTGAGAGCCTAAGAATATCTTTAATAAACCGCAGAATTGGTAACATTTTTTACTTCCCCGTCTCATAATCAATCTCTATATTTAGTATATTTTTATACCCAAATGTTTAAATGTTCAACTTGTTTTATAATACAAACGCAAACAATATACACTAAACTGTATTTATATGGAAACGCTTCATAAGTATAAATATTTTGGAGAACTCATAAAAATCTGTCAAATCTATTTTATCCACAAGAATTACTTCGAGGAAAACCGTATTACGTTCTTTTACCTCGTGTATGTTTAGATTCTTAGTGCACTGTACGCGTTCACCACACATAAGCATATTAATGTCTATCCAATGAGCTATTTTGACGTATCTGTTTATTCACTACAATTTAATGCACCATTTTGACATATGTGATTCTTCAACATTACTAGTTATGAGGTCCGTACCATAGTACTTCTGTGCATCACTTAAAACTTTTCCTAATTTTTACTTCCTTTTTCAGTGTATTTGTTTTTAACTAAATAGGGGAATGTCGAATATGTATTAAAGTGCACAAGTCAGGGCATATTGTTTTCGGATCTCCATTCAAACAACCATGCTTGTTATGTCACTGGCATCGTTCTTACTATTTCATCAAAAATACCATTTTCCACCGAACCGTACGGAAGCTGGACGTAATCTTGTTAAAGGTCATGAAGGTCTGCGTAATCTGATTTGACTAAAATTGGGCTTACTCGTTGATCGTCGCTCTCATAGCACCGTTTATTGCTCTACACTGGTTCAAGTTTTTTGCTGTGCTGAAACATTAATGAACCAGATCAAGCGCATTGTGTGACGCTTGCGTGTGCATTGGCACAGTATTTAACCTGTTACTCTTCTCGGTCTATAGGCGGCTTGATTGATGGCGCCCGTTTTTACAGTTTTCTCCATCATCTGTGGTCGAGTAGGAATTGAGCTACGACATTAGTTTACCTAACCTATGTAGCCATCGAGAGAACAGTATGCGTCCGAATCCAGAGCACTGTAGGACTAAGATAAAAGCTGGATTGTATTTCACCGAAATGCCAGCCCGTTAACATATCCTTCATATGAAGCATCATATTTTAGCAGCTCAAGCCTTTATTCGATCGTTTTCCAAGGATTAAATCTGTTTTTTAAAACGATTTTAATTAAAAACTTAGATAGACACTTATGCACATTTTCTCAGATACCACCAGCTAACTTAAGGATTGTAACGATAATACCTACCGTAAACATTTGACAATTCACTTACTCAATTTTATTCCACATCATAGCTATTATACCTTTAATCTGTCTAAAGTAAATGCTGTAAGTTAATGCTGATAGAGGACTGTTTCTTTTGCTCAGGAAATCATTAAGTTTATTTCTGAATAATAAATACTTGTGTACAATCCACACGTTTTCTAATTGAGTAGCAAATATTAATACTTCTCCGATACCACTAACCGAGAACTGGTATAAGCCCTCCAAACAGATCACCTCCACCAATTATATGAGACGCTACTCCTGTGACGATATCTGAAAGTGAATAAAAATCACATTGAGGTAAACATCACGCGCACTTTTAGAGCTCTTTGGCTGTCGTTAAGCGGTGTCAGGGTCTGCGTAGTCGAACTATCACACGTGTAACATCTACAAAAAAAAAAAGAATCACACCATCTGTTTCGTGCTACAAGTATTGGAACGAGTTACTTACGGTTAAACTACAGTATGGGAACGACTTTTCTGCCTTGCGAAAGTATGACTAACACGCTATCAAGTCTTAATACGTTGAAATCTCAAAACTGACTGACTGAATGAGCGCTACATGCATATTGCATGTATAAACGCTAAATGGCGAATTCAGTCAAAGAATGAACCGTTCTCGAGGTTACTGTACATTACTGAGTTTCATTTTAGTTTATTATCGAATTTTTCATAGACACTTCAATTTTGAAGTACTTTTTCAATTAATAGTAAATATAATGTTCATTGCTTCTCTTTCTAAATATGAAATTGTGGCAATATTTATCAATAAAGCACGGTGGTACTCATATAAATAATAGAAATTACATGTGAACGTGTATATTCGTAAGCGACGCATTGTAAACTCCAACAGTTAAACTAATGAACACGGATATTCCATCATCATCATCAACTGTTAGAATCTGTTAGAACCCTTTTCCTCTGTAGACATTGTTTTCATTATTAAGGGAAGATACATGACTAATACGATACACAAATAATAAGATACATGAAAAGATGCCTCCTTCTGTGCTTCATAAATCGTTATAGACCTATATCATAAAAATTTTAATAGGCGAGAAAGTGCAAAACAAAGGTGGTGCTTTTTTTTATAAATTTATTGTCGACGACTTATTATTATACAAGAAAAATATAGTTACTTCATAAAATATCGAAAGCTCTAATTGAAAACTCCTGCTCCATAAATTTGTATGCTTCTTTAACGGCTTTCGAGCTTAAAGTTGCTGCAGATTAACACCTGACACTCAACGAGGCAACTTACCAAGCTTGTGTATTTTGCTAATGTGGGTTAGATCAATATTATCAGCGTGCATTGCATCATCAGAGAATTAGCTGCAATACATTGTACTTTAGAAAATGGACATAAGATAAAAAGCTTTTACTATTTCGATTACTAACAATTTCATTACAGCACACATGATATAACAATCCAATTATTAAAAAATCTATGTATTAAAAACCAAGGCCGACAGGCAAATGATAACTAGTTAGCTTATAAAGCCCACGATGGGTGCTTTCGGATGCGGATATAACTAGTACACGTTAATTTACATGTAGCAGTTTACACGTGGATCAAATAGCTCCCGTGCGCATACAAAGAGTGTCGCAGCATTGTGCTAGGATATCAGATATAGCTATTTGCTTATAGTTACCAGTTCCAACGGAGAGAAGGTTTAAGGTTCCTCCGATAACTCCGCCAATTCCTCCACCTTTCGTATTAATCCCCAACGCATTCGTGACATCCGTTATCAGCAATGTTACACTACCTACCAAATTCCAAAACATGATTAATGAAACATCATGGAAAAATTCATATAGATATCCAGAATTCCCAAAAAGATGATGGATATATTGCTTAGCAATCGTCAACATATCTAGCCATCGCATTTCTTAAGTAAGTTATCAATAACTGGATTGGGAACGGTAATGGAAATAGCCAGTACACAGCCGTTAAGAAGCCTCGGAACGCTGGTGTTGTTATGTAAATAAAAAGGAGTGACTTCAATACGCGCCAAAACACCGTTTTTCTACTTTATACGGTTTAAAAGTTGCTGAAGTTTTGCGGTAAGCTAAATAGCTCTGAAAAGCTTATTATGTTTTTACGAATGTGTTTTAAGTATTTTTCCGTTTCAAGCGGAAAAGCGGAGCGAAAGCACAATAGCTCGCTAAAATAAAACCGCTAACGTCCTTGCTGGGCTCGCTTGACTTCTTCCCGATGTCTATAGTCCCAAGGAATAAAAAATTAGACTATCAATGTTGATGGCTAAGTCTGAGTGATTGACTGAAGCGATCACCCCTATCGGGCTTCCGTATAGGTCAAACCTGTGACAATTAAAACACTAGCTGAAATATTTCTTTAAAACGCTCAGGCTTTTAAGCTTACGAGTATCCCAGTGAAAAGAAAAAAAAAAACGGCACCCAGGCCTTCCTTCGAACAACGGTTACCCCTAAGATTTCAAAGCCATATATATATGCAAGACTTAGAAAACGGGATGCGCATAAAAAAAATCATTAGGGAAGGAGAGTGGTAACCACACCTCAGCGCACTTTAGAAACGACTGAGCCAGGCATTATTGCAGACAATTTGATCACGGATAAAAAGACGGGAGGAAGCACTATCGTTTTACTTAATACAGATGCCGATAAGATGCTATCATTTTTGAAGTTGCCTAGGTAGTGTAAGGAAATTCTCCTCCGACATATGTATTTTCTGCTCGCAAGAAAAAAAGGACAATGCCTTCCCCTTCACGACTGAATGCACAGCACTGGAAAATGTTGGGCAAATATTCATGATGCAGGCAACAAAGCGGCGTAGACTATCAATTTGAAGGTTTTTCCGTGTGTAAGCACCTCTAGATAATATTGAAAAGAAAATGACAGACATACTAAAAAAAATATTTTTCTTGTAGAAATTATTGTAAATAGAAGATAAATAGTTGTATAAAGCCTTTAGCATTAGCTAATAAATATTCGGGCTAGTACGAATAAATACATTAAGAAAAGCTGAAACACAAAAATATCCTTAAAAAACTGTGATCACGAGTTTCTCCTTCATTTAAAATATAATGACTATTGGAAGGCTAGACTGGTTTGCTATATTTAAATGGCCGGACTAAAACGCATCTTGAAGTTACATTAAAACAATTGGCTAACTCCCAATTAAAATAGAGGTTCTCATGCAATGACATATTCTCGCATGTAGTATCTCTCATATAATTATCTCGGTACCTCGTGAGCCCATTGGACAACGCGCTTTGATTGACTTTTATTACTCTCTAAAGGACCGATCTCGAATCTCAAAATACATGATACACCCGCTTCTGGCTGTTGCTGAATATACATCTATTATTTCTGTACGTTAGATGCTTGCTTGAGAGAGACTCTGCACTAACATGTAGTAGAATCCGATGCTCGTTTCGTGTTGAGGACCAGATGTCTGAGGTGATGTTTAACCAGTACCAAACGTAACAAATGGAACATGCATTTAACATGTCATGGAACGTATGATCGCTTAAATTGAGAACTCTTTCGATTTTTCCGATAACCTCTCTAATTCTCCATTTTGGCATCTAATATCATCGTTTGGCATTCATCATAAGGCTGGCTCCCAGCTCGAAATGAAATGATTATACCCGGATTCGAATCTGATACACGACGAATTCCTAAGATAAGCAGGCAAATACGTTACCCACTAAACTATAATGGGGTCAGCCCCAGCGACCTAGAGGCATCAAGCGATGCCACATATACCATCTAGTAGTACGTGTTCCTTCTTTGAAGCGAGACAGTGAAAACTAAGCGTGTCTAAAAATCTATGTGTCCGGTATCACAATCAGCCATTTCTAAACAATTTTAAAATATTTGCAAAAAAGTACGTCTAAAAGTATTCTAAATTTAGAGATAAGAGAGCAAGCTTGTGTTGTCAGAACTTTGTTTTAAAGATGATGTGCTTATAACGGTTATTTGATGGCTCAGGTACTATTTAGCACTGCGCTTTGACTTTCTATTACATATCTTGCATGAATGTAGAAAAAATTGCATGAATGTTTTCACTTCATAGTTGTATGCCATACAAAAACCTATTTGAATATTTCTTAACTGAATAATAACGGTTTGCTTACGCGTAATTTCCCGGACCATCTCAAAAATTGATTCAAGTATGTCAGAGAACTGCTGTTCGTTCGGCGGACGTGCTGTCAAAAAGATAATGAGGAAATGAGGCAGGTTAGTAAGCCTTAAATACTAAATTATATTATACCAACAAATCCATTTGAATCATCAAAAAGATGATAAGGTGCTCTCCAAAGTGGGATATTAAAAAAAACATTTTACTACTTTTGAAAACTAATTTTTTTAAGGCTGCTCTAAAAAATGAATGGGCGGTATTAAGCATCTACTGCAGCCAAAAAAAACGTTTAATTATGAATGTTTATCCAAACCTTATACAATTTATGCTGTTTTATTAAGATGTTCACAATGGGTCACACCTAATGCAACTGAGCGCACTTAGACCCTACCTAAGCTTTTAAAGAAGCGCTAAAGGAAAAACACACTGATGTGTAAACTGATGTAAAGTATGCTAAAGAAGGTATATAGCAAGCGAAAAGACAATTATAAATAACTGAAGTGGTGCGGTGCGTAGGTATCAATTTACAGTTAAGAGTCAGTTAGAGAATTTTTGGCATGATCAAGTTTATATACCCATAAGGTTTGGTAAACAAATAAGATTTAGACGCGATGAATTAATTTTTTTAGCATCCCTGCACAATTTAACAGCTAAAACCTTGTTAGCTGTTTCGAACGTAGTACTTGTGTTACAGTGTGCATTTTACTGGGTAAGATATAAAACATATTAATCATAACGTTCTTCCACTAAACTGAGTTTCTTTATATCATAATATATGTTTGGCACAGGTGTTACATATCGCTTAAAACAGTTCTTTTTAAACGATATCTAACACCTGCATCTTCGCCATTTGAAACGCATTTTGCTTTCTAAGCTCTCTGAGATCGACCGGAAGAGCCTTCTATTAAGGGAGCTATTGAAACAAAATAGCTATCAGCTGACTGGAAAATTGGCGATCTAAGTCTGAATATGTCCTGTTAAATGAAGATGTTTTACGAGCCTCGTATAGGTACAGTTCATGTTACTAATCTATTTGGTAAACTGACGCGGAGCACTTTTTTTAGATCCAAGATACTATCCGTAAATTTAACAAACCGCTTTCGTAAGCTTCTCAGCTATAAACGTATTTCCGTACATTACATAAATAATCCAGATATAGTTTAGAAAATATGTGACCCGGACAAAATACGAAATAGAAGGTATCGAAATTGAGTTCTTTGCCCCTTAAAACATTCACTCTTGGAGGCTGAATCCCGGGAATGTTCCGTCGCAAGGAGCAATCACAAAGACTTTGCGAAGGACAGACATCGCTTTTAAACCATACGTAACATTTCAGTGACAAAATAAAACAAGATTCATAAAAAGTAATCTATTAAACTTTATTACTTACTCATTCGAAAATTTTGGATTATTTTGAACAATGTGTCATTAACAGACGAAATGAAGAGTAATAGCTAAAGACTTAATATAAATATTTACATAAAATCCTTGGCTATTTACCACTATAAGCACACGCACTGCAGTCAGATAATTATGAATTTAGAGGCAAATATATAGGTTAGTAATAATTGGTGAGTTCCGTTTCTCAAATGTAAATAATAGTTTGTTACCATCGTTTAGAAATAGCAATTAATCGATTTTATTACTTTTCTTCCGTGTCTTAGATACAATGATCTAAGGTCGTTGTCATGCCGCGGCGTGAAGGCACTTCATTGCATGTGTCCGGTTTATCCGTAACTTCATTAATTCATCATCGCCTGGCAATGGAGTTGGGTATTTTTCGTCATAGGAGAATTTACTAAAAATTCGGTCGCGACTTACACCCCACTTCATGGATCTTCGTATGGCACGCATTATTACACTTTACTAGTGTTACTCGAGACGCTACCGTAATTCTGCTCTAACCTAGCAGGATATTACGCAGGGCCTTTCTGCCACTTACTGACAACGAAATGCATCCCGTTTATTGAGTATCACTATGTGACGCGAAATTGGTGGTTGTTGTTTCTGCGTGTCGTTCACTCTTCATTGCATTACATAATCACTTAACTATTTGAGATTGAATCTGTATGTCCTTAGTTTTACTAGATTGTTTTTAACACATTAACGCGCAATGTGTCTCTTTATGGATTTCGCATTGCATTTAGTTATTCCGATATTTAGCTATGCCAAGACTTGATCGTAAGCAACGAAAGCACGTGTTCGTGTGAATAGGTTTTTTTCATTTATCCTTTAGCGAAACGTCCATTCGACACGATTATGACGAACCTGCCATTCAAGGATATTCAATTGTGCTATCCACTGAATGCCAACATTTTTAAGGCACATGTTTAGCATCGATTATCTTGGCGGTACAGCAAAGATGGCGTTTGGTCAGCTTAACTGGGATCCGTTATTGCAGGAATACTGGATACTCGGAGGGCCCCATATGCAAGTCGACACATACTTGAAGAATCCCAATTTCTGCAAGCCGCAAGAGGGCGCTGTGGTGTACCTCACCGCCTCCCTATATTTATATGAATATCACTCTTTGATGAATTTTCCTAGCTGATGAATGAGTATCCGATTTATGTATTTGCTCAACAAGTAATTGTTTGACATTAGAAATGCAATGAGCCGAGTCTTCCACGCACTATGGTATAAAAGGACGCAAAGTAAATAAAACAATTCTGTTCGAGCAATTTTGCTGAAACTTCACTTAAGCTAAAACCTTACGGTTACTACACGTTTGTAATGGCTTTCGCTTTATCTGGCATCCAAGAATGGCCCTATATTGCGGAGGAAGACTATGGTCTAAGTTAACCGAAATAACAAATGCGGTACCTGCTGTTTCACACACAGTAAAGTGTTAATTAACATGGTTTAAATCTACACTTATCATGTATGGAGATAATAAATTGCTTTTCGTTAACATTACAAAACATTGTAACATCTTTACACAATCTTAGCGTTCTCGAAAATGCCATTAGTATCGTCAACAGCGCTTTCTTGTAATTTTGGCAATAAAAATAATAACGATCTTATAGATTTTCATGAAGTAAGACTGATTAACTGAAACATTTTAAATTATAGGAATAATTATGAAAAGACAAAGGATAATATTGCGAAGTGATATTCACAACAGAACCGGAAAAAATTAATCACAAAATGACCAAAGAGACAAAAAAGGGCATTTTAAGAGCGTAAAACAACATTATAATGATAAATTCAAAAACTACAAAGGCAAATTGCGTTAAGCGCCTTGTCAAAGAAATCACAGTAGGGCTAAAAGAAACTACGCACTTCCCTTAAAAGTCCGGGGCTTCTTATAGGAGTGTACTTAAGGAAGCATTTTATTACTACCATCTTCTACTTTAAATAAAACTCGCGGTACTTACATATACAATATTATGACATAGCTATTTGATCTTCTTAGGTCGCTAACTAAAAACATACTAAGACTAAGTAAAAGATAAACAATCGCATGTGTCTTATAGGTTTTGTTAGGCAAAAGACTTCTACTTTTCATAAAATAGATACTTATTATTTTTTTTTTTAACATTATTTGGAAGTTCATCCTCGGACCAAAGACTTGTATCAAGAAATTGGTACTAAGTAATAGAAGTCCTTAAAAACTGCGAAGTAGAATAATGCTACATGTGAAACAACGAGCGAAAGTACGCACTTCGTAGCCACAAGTTTTTACTTACATGGTTGAGCTAAGCAAAGCGTGGCAAACAGCTCAAAAACCACAAGCACAATGACGTATCTCGAAACCTCAAGTAGTCGATTCCGCCTTATGTATACTTGTTGAATATTCATTTTCTTTTAACTTAGCTATCTATAGGGTACAAAAGGCAAGTTAATTTATACTTTATAAACTAATTTCGTGGATTCTTGAACAACTATGCCAAATTTTTGGATATTACTGGTTGACTTTCTTCCGTTCAGAAAATATTTTAATCAGCAGCACGGCTATTGTTTTTAAGCTTATGACTACGGACTCACTGTAATATTCCTTCCTTGATCTACACTGTTTGCTCGTTCATTATGGTAAAAAAGGGATACACAAATGTGTGCTAAATAGGGCTAAATAGGTCATGGTCTTGAGATTGAGCTTTACAACGTAACTGAGAAAGAAGGCCACTACTGAACCGCCAAAAAATCGTGTTGCAGTCTCCAACATCTGAAATGATACACTTGTTTAGGAAAAACAATGGCGACATCACTAATTTAAGTGTAGTTAGAAAGATTTGCCTCATATGATGTCTTATAGGCAATGACCCACAAAGAAAGTTATTACTAATTAATTTTAATAATAAAAATTGTTCTCCTTTGCGGCTGTTTAACATGAAATAGTATAAATTTCGCAATTTGCTATGAATGGTAATCTTTGAAATTTTAGCAAAAAACTACAGTTTAGGTAGTGCTTTCTCATTAGTTTGATGCGCATCAATGGAGGCCACAGGATTTTCGAGATCTATGTAATCTGAATGAACTTACTTATATGTTCCTTTCCAGGACTTTCCTAAGCAAATTTGATAATGATCTGATAAACAAAATTCTATAAAATGAGAAGTATAATGTAATACTGTGACTGCAAAGTACTAGTTGGATGGTTAGATTTCACTTCATTTTTCTACATTGTTATAAAACCTGCAAACTTTACCATAACTTTTTCTTTATCATAACGATTCTCAGATTTCGCTGGAATGCTTCGGTTGGAATAGCTTTACAGTTACATATAATACATGAGATGAAAAACTTAAGGAGCCTAGTAAATTTCACAGCCACAAGAAATTAATATCTATGTATAGAAATCTATATAATATAAGGTTTATATCACATATTCATTTTTCTTGAATCTTTGGTGTACATCACTCCTCTTCCATCAACCTCTATTTATACCTCTAATCAACAACGTACCTCTACGTGGTACGTTGATGATTGCTTGAGATTTGTGGCAGACCATTCGATTCGTTATGGAACGACATTTCACCTCACTCACGAAAATTTCAGACGTACTGATAAACTGTGACTTTTCGTTTATAAAATATACCTAAGTTACTTTTGACTTGCTTAAATTATTTGTAGAGACGAAAATGTATCCCTACGCCTTATTCATATTAGACATTTTCACCTTTGTCAGGTACTTTGTAACATACCATTTTACAAAACAATACAATAAAATAGAAGCATAGAAGAATAACACAGTGCTAGAACTGCGCTGTTCTTTTCTGCGCACTGTTCATAAACAAAAACGCCTTTGGACATAAGCCTAGGTAGCCTCATTTACAGAGGCCTCTGCAAAAAATACACGTGCAGTTTCCGTTTGGCTCGTAATAGTATGAGCTAGCATATATAACATGGCGAAAGCTACATGCAGTGTGACTAACTCTTGCGTGTTGGCTCTCTCTTTATGGTTTGTTCGATGCCGGGAGCTTTTGGTATTTGTCTGTCAGATTTCATTATTCAGAAAGAGAGAGAGAGTCATTTATATTCAAAGGTGCACCTTAAGGCCTGTCATAATCTGCCTAACTGTGACGTGAATGAGTTGGTTCTCACGTTAGCTTATCCAAGTGCTTCGTTTCTTTTTTGCCCGTTGTGTGTAGCTATATGTTCCCTTTTTTCGTTGTTTTGGTCCAGAAATTTGTAATTTACGAAATGAGTTCGAGATATTCTTTAAAAAGAAGTCTTTATGCTCCAGGAGGGTTACCATCGCGACCAAGAGCTTCGCTGCTTGATTCTAGCGCCTGCCAGCACCTGACACATCAACAGGTGGCTCTTCTATTACCGTCTCTTCAAAATCATCTCTGTTAAGCAGCGCCATATTACGAAAAAGTTTCCGTGTAACCATTTCACTTTCGTCAAGAAGGTGACTAGCTGTTTCTCTTCAATTTTTCATTCTCTTTTCACCATTTCTATTGATACCCTGAGGGTCGTTTTGCCTCTTCTCAAAATAGACCTCCCTGCAGTTGTTCTTGCTCTTTTTACTTCTCGTCATTTTTAAGTCACCTTTAGTAAGCTGTACTTATACCGATTTTCTCTTTGCTATTTTCTTCCTTAGCTTCTTCCTAGTTCACCTGTATTCTAACTGAGCTCTAGTTATCTTAATTTTCCACTTACAAAAAAATATTTCGTCTATTTCTCGTCTTAAAATCTAATTCCTTTAGAAGATGCTTCTTTTAGCAGTGTCGTCAATTTTTATTTACGTCTATTATTATGAACTCAGCCACCATGTAATCGTTTCTTTTTAGCACTTTTCAGGTTTGAGATCCAATTTGATGTGTTTCATTTACGACTGGCGCTTTAAAAGATGCGCATCTTTTCTAACTAACTTGTTCGTTTATGTCATTCGTTCGATGCTTAAATTTTAGTGTCGAAGACGGCGAGGGGTGGGAACGCTAACATGTGAAGATGACCAGTATCTTTTTTAAGCTTCATAATAGTCATATTGTCCTGTAATAATTATTCAAGTTCATCAGGATCGCTATCGGGCTATAATAATATAAAAATACCAGTCTTGAACTTTCCGTCTGCAGCCAAGAATATTTCGTCCCTGACCCGTTTTTTAACTTGTTTCATGCTTACGAACGTTAATAACCGCTTGTCGTCTGTAAATCACCACCTTGCGTTATTTCTGAATATTGTTTTGATTACTTTGCAAAGCACACATTTGATTCCAACCTAGTTGCTCGTGCACGTTTTGGCTTCTGTTACAGTTAGTGTGGGCTGCTGTTGGGTCTGGATTGTTAAGCACAATCTGTATTTATTTGTTGGACTGCCGGCCCTTCTGTCCCGTTAGGGATAAAACGGTAGGAACCACGTTTTTTGCTGGTGACTCAGATAAAACCGTCTTTGACGATTTTTTTTTGTTTTTTCCTTTTTTCTGACGGTGTCCGCGCGTGATTATTTAACCTTGAGGCGCTTCGGACATACTGCTAGGGAAGTTGTTTGATTTGCAGTGGACTTATTACGGGTTTGGCAACGTACTATTACGCAGTCCACTTTTGCTTACTTTCCTTTTTCTCTCCACATTTTCTTTGCAAGTAATATAACACAGCATCAGCAGAACCAAACTGAAGGCTCTCTAGGCCCCCTTTTGGCAGGCCATCTCGCCTTGTCGCCCGCTGCCAGGAAGCCCAGAGCCAATAGGCGTAACTCAATACTGTGAATATTGCTAGTGGTGCTGTCAATGCTCTTTCCCGCTGTCTTCCTTACTGGCATTAATATCACTGGCACCTATATCCTCGGGTTCGCATTGCCCCTCAACCTAGCCCAAGGTTCCGCATTTTTTTTCCTCGTTAACCTGGTCGTTTCTGCAGTCATTTGTGCAATGCTTAGATTTCTAACGTCGGAAGCGAGTAACAAATTATGAGATTTGAAACACAAGAACCGTGTTTGATGATGGCCACATGAATAACACACCTTTATCTAGTTAATAAAAATTCAAATTTAGCTTTTCAGTTAAAAAAGCATTTCCTTCTTATTAACTGTGTTATCAGTTTATACTTGTTAGATTTCATCTTATTCTACCGTGTCACTTATCGTACATGTTCTTTTACCAGGATGAAGCTAAGTTTTCTTGTTTTGGGGTTTCCTGTTTCTTTTTTCTGTGTTGACTATTTGTATCACCTTGTATTTCTCGGTTAGGCGCTAAGATTTATCTTATTCTATTGTTATTTCCTTGCTCGTCACATCGCAAGAAATTTCGCCGTCTATTTATTATCGCTGTTTTAAGCATCTCTTCTAGAACTTGGCATGTAGTCTCAAGGTCGCAACAATTTTCCGAAAAGGTTACTATTACTTTTTGTATTTTCCACCCCGCCACCAGATTCAATTAAACTTTTCGGTTCAGAGACTCTGATTCTGCGAATTTGATGGTGAAAACCGGTAAATTGTTGTATCATGGTCCTTTAACCGGTGTACCCGATGCGGTTATTCTTATTTTTGATAATGATGCATATGACGCATATAGGTCCCTTTTTGAGAATGCTATCACTTGTTTTTTTCCATGATGGAAGTCCTTTTTAAATCACATAAGGTCTAACAGTTCACCCAGCCTTATAATAGAGTCAAAATCTTACATTAATCCTGCGAACCTAAAAATCTACAGAAAATACCTGACATGAAAAGTTTCTATTAATGTTGAAGGTCTTCTGGAAATGGCTTGATGACAAAATACGTCCAAATACATTTGGTCATCCATCGAACTATCCTTTTTTCTTCAGCCGTAATCTTCTAGCTAGATACGATGCGGTATTTTAGGTACTCAGAGTTAGGTTTAACTCATGTATGAATGTTTCTACTTGTTCTTTGTTGTTTTGGTTTCTCCAGAGAAAACATGTCTGAGTTGTAGTAGTTTGTTCAGCTCGTTCTACATTTTTGCAGCTGACTCATTTTTGTTCATCTTTCCATCTCATCCATTTTTTGTCATATGCTTCTACGGCATCCTCTTAAGCCTGGTCAATTTCCACGTACCTATTATCTGATCTTCTCTCTGGTGCAATGTTCTAAATTTTTCCTCTTTAAAGGTTACACGCTACGTACTAGCTACTCCTATATGAGTTAAAACTCTTTAATTTAATGAAACCAGCACCGATAGTACACAGAGCAGACGAGAAGTTTCGCTGACGATTTGCTGATGCATTACGTTGCGTTGCATGCTACATTCTTGATCCAAACTAGAAAATTACACGGGTGAATGCTTTTCTGCAATGCTATATATATATATATATATATAAGATGTACACTGAAGCTGAATAAGCAGCATTTTTCTTTTTTATTTTTGGCATCCACAAGCACGTGTTCAACTACACCGATTCACAAGGATTGATTATACTGGCAGCAGTTACAAATTACAACCATAAAATTCTATATAGAATCGGATGCCGCCAAACAAAAATCAAGTTTAAATACTAAGTCATTCGAACGGAAGATTTAGAACAGCAAATTATGACAAATAAACTGAAAGAAGCTATCTTTTGACATTTTGAATACATTTATCAGTACATAATATTAAGAGTTAAAACCCTGTAAATATACAGTCAGCGCTTTACAATTCATTGCTTATCCTTCCCAAAGTTTATCCTTTCGTCTCTTATCATACTCACATGTGTCTAAATCTCTCATGATAAAGCAAAAGAGACATTCTTTCGGTTCCACATACCACGAGGTTATTAGCGATTTCCGTAACTTTAACGTACTCCTCCACAATTTAAAATTACACAGCACAGTTATAAACAACGCTAGGCGCTGCAGTTTCAGGCTGCCCGATACCAACACCTGAATCGATTCGTTACGAACCTCAATCGCGCTATAGCTATTTTTGCTACAATCAGTGGCGGCCGATTTAGTTAAAGTATATCCAGGCAGCTTTTCCGTTCTCCGAGTGACACTAATATGTACTTTTTACACCATGCTTCCTAATGGATAACTGATAATGCAGGAGGGAACAAGCATTTTTATATCAATCATTTTACCGCGAAGTACCAAAACCGTAATCAAAATAAATTACACTTTCATTGATATCCATAGCCAAGGGTGAAGGAACTCACCGACAAATGTGCTAGAGAAAATGTAGTTGCCTGCGGACGCTTTAGTTACCAGGCTTCTAGTTCTTTATGAATCAAAATATATATTATGGATAGTCGATAGTATGGTTACTTGGAATAACTCTGTTTTATAAAAGGTATCATTAACGATCAATAAATTTACAGACATAAATTTAAAATAGCATTTATGTGACACGCTATAGAGCCCTGTAAAAACCACAATGAGGCGGGATGATTCGACGTGTTCCACAGCAGCCGAAGTGCTTGTTGAATTAATGGCCAGATAAAACACGTCAAAAGTAAGCATTTGGAACTTGAATGTTATTTTGTATTCCTTATACAAGTATTAATATTTTATTTATTTATCTAGATATTATTGTTTTTTTTATTTGTTTAGATTAATATTTAGAGCCTGCAACGCACACAATGTATGTTGTGAACTAAATAACTGCGACAAATTTTTGGTAAGGCAAAATAATAAAATTTGGTGTTAGTATGTATATATTATCTGCTAATGAGCCTGAAATTAAAAGCCATAATAAGAGCACTATAATTGTTTTTCATCAAAAAATTCACTACTAACCAGTATTGTGCATATGAGAATAAGGAGAACTGGTAATCAAATTAATAGTTCCTATTTGCTATCTTTATTATTTGGCTTAATTGCATATACATGCGCATACGATGTTGCGCGACCGATTGTCTATCATAATAGGCATGTTCATTATCACACACACTTTTTCCGCTTGTCAATGAACAACATCAAAATAAATGGTGCAGTCCAGCATCAACAAAGCCCTAATGCCAATCCGTCAAAAGCAAACCTTTACAGTTAAAAAAAAAAGAATCTGTTTTGAGGTCCACAATAAATTGTGATGCATTAGTAAAGTTCAGTACTAGAAAAGGACCAACGTTTTTAATTAAATGAAGCATTGTACAAAGTAGCAATCCTCAATTACAATTAACACAATTTGCATCTGCAGTTAAAGTAAGTGTTGTTTACATCTTCTTTTTTGTACATCTTAAATTCAATTAAAATTTATACTTTGTGGCTTACACTCTAGGCCCTAATTCTCTGTCATAACGTGGTGAGCTGTTGCATTTTGCTTAGTCTCTTCGTCTCTTTCCTCCACGATCTTCATCATTACGGTCATCTCTTCTCTTATGCGAAGCTTTTTTGGCTTCATTGAAGAATTTATCTAAACCGAACGGATCTTCTTCTTGCTCAGACTGTTCAAACTGAACGGGGCCGCGACGCACTGATGACTCTGAGTGGTCTGTTCCCGCAAATTTTTTATCAGGGATGAACCTGTCAGAATTTATCGTAAACTAAGTTAGTTAAAAAAAAAGCGACCAGGAAAATCAGGTTGTGTTTCACTTATCTTGAAGATAAAACAAATCTGAGCCTAAATGACTTATACGGAGATAGTTGCACTGCGCAGAACGAGCTTGGCAGATGCCAAATTGTTCTTTGTGTGGAAGAAACAAAAGATAATATAGTTGCTTTCTACAATCATGCATCCATAAAAATGTAAGAATCAATTCTCCAAATCAAGACAAAGTCATCAAAAAATGTTCAGATTAGCTAAACCTTCAACTTCTTTAGGTAAGCTCCAATACGAAACGAAATATAAGAATCGAAGAATTTCGACAGACTGCGAAAACAGAAATACACATAATATCGATCTCTTCTCTAACACCAGCTACGCTTGCAATTTTTTTATTACCTTTCACATATAATGTAATAATAGCCTGATAAAGAAGATTAATATCAAAAAGAGAGAACTGTATAAAGTCTATTATTATAATTACGAAAGCAATACTCACCGTCCCGTTTTAATCAAGGAGTCAATATCTTCAGCAGTCTCTCGGTCTCCGCGTGGTCTATATAGCTGACTCGACAAACCCTGACCTTTGCGCCACGCTTTATCATACACGTTGTAAGAATCATCATCGCCAAAACCAGACTCTAAACCCTAAACCGTAACACTAAAAATATATTAACAACTTGCAAAAGTTGTGTGCAAAAGTTGTGTGATAGATGTCCACTAACCTGCGGTACTAGCAGAAGAAAAAATAGGTTATGAGCATAACATAGAACATTTCAGACATTTCGACTGCGGCTAGAATTGGGTGGCTAAGAAACACGTCAAGTGTCTATAGTCACCCGTTTATCAATCAATTCATAATCACTAGGTTTGTTAAATCTTCTTAAGACACAATGAATGCTGAAGGCCGCATATGTCCGACAACTGCGATGAGATTTGGCTCCTTTAGCATAATTATAGAATATTGACAATCAAAAAACTGCATACTGCTTATATTATTTTAAATTATAAATGTTTAGCTATTTTACCTTCGACTGATTAAAAAGTCTCTGATCGAATTGCACTTCTCCACTTTTGCTCGTTCCACTTGTCGATGGCAAACCGAGCGCAATTTTTTCTGAAATATCTCTTTCCCGTTCCCGCTCCAAGCGGTTTCGCTTATCAGGGGCAGCACGAGCAATGTTCCTTTCCCGTTGTCTCTCCCGGTGTCTTTCTTGACGCAACATGTCGCGTTCCTGCGCCTCATCATCCTCGTCCTAAAAGTTACGCATAACCATAATCTCACTATTTACACAGAAGTAGGGGGCAAATAAGATTAAAATTAGATACGACATTGGAAAAATAGGCTTTCATTTAGGGAAGAAGTCCGTTTACAATTAAAGCGGACGCTGCTTTAATCGCAAGCTGACTTCTAATTAACGATAGCTTCCATCCGAATGCAAGCTTTTCTTCATGTCCACTTCCCTCCTGTATATGCACAAGACGTTTAAAATAAAATGGATATCGTTCGTTTATAAATGGCAACTAAATAAAAGAGCTGTTTAGAAAATATTTTGCATGCGTTGATATAGACAATCCTGACAGACGTATATGATTAATGCAACTGCTTCTCCTTTTAACCATGCCTTCAATTCTGCCTCCCACAGGTGATTCTCAAAATCATATTTGCGAATTAAATAATTCTATGTCGAAAATGGTCTCTAATCTTTACACAAAAGCTTTAAGACCCTCAAGAATAGTTTCTTGTGCCGCGTTTGATAAACTCTTCTTGTTTCGGTTAAATGTTATTGTAGATTTAAAAGTATTTTCGGATACTTCGAAAGCAGTATGATGAACGACAAGAGCAGAGACCACTGATTTCACAAGTACATACTGTTTCTGCGGATTCGTTTGACTTAAAGATATTGGATATGTGTTAACCTTTGCTTATATTTCGAACGCAAAACTTCCGTCTACGGCATCTAAAGGTTGTTTCGAAAATGAACTGCCTTTAACACCAAGAATCACGGATGAACACTTTGCTAAGGCTGCTGAAACTCATCCCAATTTGATCTGAACACCCGGTATAATGGATTTTGCAATTAGATGTGTTCCCACTAACCTCTTCATTCACTCGGATACCAGCCCTCTGATCCCTGGCCCGTTGGGCCATAGCACGAAGATGCTCCTCCTTCTTTTCCTTTTCTTTGGCCGCCATCTTCCTCTCGAGTTGAGCTCGGGCCTCAACGGCTTCTCGAGCTTTTCTGTCAGCTAGGTATAGCGCCTCAGCCAATTTAGAGAAGTTTTCGTTGATGTGCTGCTGTTGTAGACCTCTGCCATCGGCCGCCAAGCGTTTGTCAAGCGGAATCGTGTAGCCTGAAAAATAAATTAAGTGTCGTTGAATTTGCTTTGACGTAAAAACCAATGACCCAATATCGGCCGCATTCAATTCTATAAACGTTCATGTGATTGCGCATCCTCCTACTCTGATATCTGCTAATAATGTGCAGACATTAGAAACCCACTCTAAGGAAAAACTTAAATCCATACAAGCTCATTGCTATTCACGGTTACGCCCGCACTCGGAGATAAGTAGTAGAAACACCTAAGAACTCGTTTGCTTTATTTGACCATACATCTAACGAAGTATTTTATATATCGACAGAGGGATTTATGGCCAGCTAGTTATTCCCTTTGAGCCAGCTAGTCTCTTCCAGCCAGAGATTTGACTGTTAAACCACTGCGCCGATTTAACAGTGAAAATCATTAAAGCAGGCAATAAGTTGACCGGAATTTATTTGTGTCCCGCATCCTACACATTTTGAAGGATTTATACACACCTTTAGCATTTTTCCAGTTACTGACACACGGGGGAATCTTCCAATCCTGCTGTTCTTTTACAGTGACCTTGCGGGTTGGAGAATGCATCACCGGGGGAGGTGGAGATGGCGGGCCCCGAGGTATCTACAGTAAAGGATTATAAACACACATAATATTTGGTTATCTTTTAAGTTTTGTCAAATTTTAAGAGATATACTTTAATTCCTTTTGAGAGTAGTCAAAATGTAATAAAAATTTTGTGACTTTTAGGTATTTCTTGTCTAAAAAGTTTGTCAAATTTTCCACTATCAAGGAAAAATAGGTACTTGCAGCATGATTCATACGCTTCATATATTTATGGCCAATATATTTCATCTGACAGTCAATCGGCAATTTTCAAAGCATTGTTTAAAAGCTTAAACCTGAGCTCTTTAGCGGAAGTTATACCTAGGTTAAAATGACAAAGTTGAAGTTTCGTTTCATGAACACGTAGGTAACTTAAATTCTCTATCTTCTTAAAGTAGATCGGGTTTGAGTACATATGGCTCATTTCGCTTCATGGACGGGAAATGTCTATATTCTTAGTCGAATCGAATAAAACAGTATCAACCAGGATTGCAAAGGGTCAAAGAACACTTTATTATTATTATTATTAAAACTCAAAGAAGTTTTAATAATCGGGTATGTTTAAAATGTTAGCTGATAATCTTTTTCATGTTACATTAGCATCCATCGTCAGCAAAAATCGTTGACCTAGCAACGGTTCACTTTTAACAATAGAATAGCCATAAAATGTGACAAAATTAAACAAGGTAACACATCTAGATTAAAGTTTCGGTATGTTATTGTCAGTAATTTCAACTGATCAATGAATAATAAGAGATCTTCTATATTATTTTTTAATCCTTTCTTACTCACATAATAGCACAGAAGCCGTGACGGAAACTGCGAACCGCAGCTTGGCTGGTTTGAGCTTGCGTTCATTGTATAAGATACGCGTATTTATCATGTTTTTTTTTATTTTTAGTTTTTGAAGATCTTTCGCTTAGTTTTTTTAGCCTAGTTCTAGATTCTACATACATACTTTTACTGTTCCTTAGCTTTCTTATTTTTTTCATTTTGTAGTCTATTAAAATTTCCTCTAAAATAGAGCATATTCAGACCTCTGAACAGTTGATGCTTACAGTGGTATCCTTAAATTTATATGGAATAAGAAATACACAGAGACAGTATAGCAGTTTTCATTTTTTTCTTTCTTTCTACACCTTCAATTTCAGAGTTATTGAGGCTCGTTTCGAACAGATATATCGATTTCAATGCCTCCCAGACCATACCACACCTTTGCGAACTAGATGCCTATTCGATGGCTACCATTGTATTCAACATTTCACACAATTTGAAAACATTTAAGTTCATTTAAAAGCAAAAACTTAGTGATCCACTGATTAAAAAACCGTTTTGATTTGCAAGAAAATAGAAAAATCTTAATTTTTATGTTTCTTAAATAATAAATATTTAAATAAAGATTTCGTTAGACTGTGTCAGATTAAAGTCTTAATTCAAAATGCGCGTCTTCAAGAAGTAGCGTTCTTCGTTACGACAAACTGACATGCTTAACTTACGTAGATATCCACAAGTTTCAATAGATTGATCAGCTCTCGTATAACGCTTCATGAAGTGAATGACTACTATAAAGACTAAGATAAAGAGAAAGCTTTTATAAACCACCAAAACTCGCTGAACAATCTAATATATCTAAATATGCGATTCACTGAGATAGCCGAAATTCCCTGTCCAAAACTTCAATAGTTTCGAATTCTTCCTCCAAGCTGTAGTACAATTGTTGGTAGTGCGTAAATACTAAAAGAAAAATTTTTAGGGCAAAGCAGTTGGGAAATTTTATATCTTTAAAGTGATTACTTTCTAAGTCCTTACAGACTGAAAAAACGTAAATTAGCAACCATAATCTTAAGATTCAGGATATCTATCTTTCATGCTGGTTACCATTCACCTTATTTCACAACTGGTACAACTGGTATTATATATCTAATAATAATAAGCTAATACTTACGGTAGAAAGGTCTTAGATTGGTCAAAAACGCATACAAAACGTCATTCACTGTAACAGAGATTTCTGTTCCAGTGATAGCTGAGGTGGCGCTAAGGTTGGCACCCTAAATTAGTTTTGCACAAGCTGCGAATTCGAATGTTGACACCAGCGCAGAACATTTTTTACGGATATCTTTCTCAGAACAACAATTTTTACAGTAAAGTCAAAGAGACATAGATGGAAGTTTTGCATTTATGATACTGGGTGCGCAGTAGTGTCTAAAAAAGACTCCAGAACCCATTTCATGCTCAAAAAACATACGCACGGAAAACGATCTTCTCGGGTACCACACGTTGATAATCAGCTGAAACTGTTAAACCACCACAAAATATTACTCCGGCAGCTACTTATCTTCAGAAGTAGAAATTCAGCTTTGTTGCAAATTGCCACTTTATTGCAAAAATCAAAGATCGTAAATCACCCTTACAAAAAATCATCGATAGTTTTTCGTACTATAGGTTTGTTCATTGAAGCTAAATGCAGCGTAACTGAATGAATGCCGTTTAAGTATAACGTCCAAATAAATCTGTTTATTTGCAAATAAACGACAGATAAATTATCGCAAAGGAATAATATCAATATCAGTTTTTTACAAACTCAACTAAATATTTAGCAACGTTCAGTTAGAAAAGAGCTCAAAGCGGTTTGTTTCTCGGCACAAAATCCGTAGTGGCCCATAAAATTCAATTTCTGGCCCACAAATCCTTATTTGGTAAGGCTATATGAACCAATAACGTAAGTATTTTTAGTGAAGTACTTTTTTGAAACAGATAAATTATTGTAAGCCTATTGTTGTTACAGCCTTAGGCAAATACACTGATATAATTCTTCTTCCTCTTATGAGAGCAGTTGTCTCCAATGATAACATTAAATAAATGTTACCCCATGCAATACTCAGCATTCATTTACTATTTATTATATAGTAATTAAAACTCTATGTATGTTTATCTCGAAAAGGTGAGTCTCATTAGAGTTACTCGTTAGGGAGAGAAGCTTTACACTGATTTTTACTAGAACATATGCTTAGCTTAAAGTTAACTCCAGTGACCACTGAGCCACAAGAGACGTAAACAACATCGAGCAGCACGTGCGACTACCCGAAATGAAAGCTGAATGGTCAATGTGGCCAAGCAGCTATAGACTGAAAACCGTGAGTAAAATTTAGTTTGTCTAGAAATGAAATTCACATATACGACAGCAGTTCCACCAAAAAGCCGGAAATTGATGTGAACGGACTTTCCTTTATTCATTTTCATGAGTCTCAATGGTGACCTTTTCCTGTTATCAGCAAAAATACTAATTCAAATAAAAATTAAAACCAATAGGCAGATTCAGGCCGATTCGTTCCGGAGATCATAAAATGTTATGTTTATAAAGATTCGATGATATAAATTATGCTTTGATCATAAGATACTCTGGATAGGTCGATTATGGTAATATCAGTTACCTACTCTACTAACCTTCTTATTGATCTTGTATTTTGGAGGTTCCATTGGATCTTTCTGCGCTTCCACCATTCGTATAATCCTTTGGCTAGCCCCAGAATTAAATTCTGATCCCTGCTGAGCAGGTGTATACCTGAAATTAAATTCAATAAAACGTGTTGATTTCAAACCTATGTTTTGTACGTCTACAGCGTCCAGGGACAGTCAGAATCTTATGAATACCCTTTTGCTTTCTTTGTGTCGGTAGCAATATCAGTCTCATCTTTGATGTGGTGCGTCTGTTTTCGCTAAAATAAAGAAAATCACGGGATCTTTGGAAAATCTTAAAAAAATCATTGGACTGGTACGATGTGCATAAAGGAGCCAAACATCGCCATTGTCTTATAGGACTCAATTCGCTGGATGTTACACAGTACAGTAGCTCTAGAGGGTGAACGCTTCAATTGATATTTTTTTCAATTACTGCCATTGAGTAACACGTTACATAGTAGAGAATAGATACACTTTATTTATCATTGCAAATTATAGTAAATCAACCAGTAGTCAGTACTCCTGAATAAAGAATTTGTTTAAAAAACGTGAAAGCCTTCTCAACCGCATAAATTAATGCTATTATTGGGACAGTTCTTTCCCCAAGGTGAGATTATGAGCTCTAACATGCATTCTTGTGGTTACCTTAAATACGTAATAATTGCAACCAACGCCGTAAAAAAGTGATAATTAGCAAGCTGTGAGACCGTCAAAGTTATATGCTTTAGTTATTCTTCTTTATTTCCAATACAATATTCTCTATCTATACGGATTGTATGACATTCTGTTTATGTTTTGCCTATTTAAGAAATGAATAAGGTCACCCGACACACGCATTCTTCCAACTTTTCCCGTTTAGTTTTCTTAATCGTTTGCACAGGTATAATTTGAGTTAATGGCCTTTTTTTGTCACACTCATATCTTGCTAGATCTTTCTTTCTAGAGAAAGACCGCCTCCACTATGCAGTAAGCGACCTTTACATTCTGGTTTCTATCACACTTGTATCTTACTAGATCTCTCTTTCCAGAAAACACCGACTCCACTACGCACTAAGCATCCGTTTTATTTTGTTCTCTAGCGGTGCTTGAAGAGTCTATATCGCCTTTGTTACACCACAAAGTCTCGGTCAGTATATTCATCTGCATGAGAAACTAAGTATGTTTGCGGTTTAAGTTCAGCGTAAACATCTTTAAAATAGCAACATCAAAATAATATCAAAAAGACAACAAACGCATAATATTTCAATACAAATATTTGTTCTTCAATGATTGGCTTAGTATAGTGATAATAATGTTGCAAAATCAATCTACTTATTAATTAGACTATGTACATAGATGTGTACGGACAAGTCCTAGCTAAGCCGAAAGGGCCTCCCATTTTTAAGTATGTCAAAATATCTTCACATGTATGTATTTTTAGAATCTAGAGCCATTTATTTTGAACCCTAAGTCATCAAGGTCCACCCAGCAGATCATTTAAAAGTTAGGAATTTGTCCTGCCTATTAAGGTTTCTGTCGGTACTCACTGGGGTTCCATGACTCACTAGAAAGAGGTCACTTTCCTTCGACTACACAAAGTGTTTGCGAAAGACTGATGCTCCATGTTTATACGATAGATTATTTCACTACAAATGATAATAACGGAGATTATTTGTCCCTATTATATACCACATTTGTCGTGCTCACACATACCCATGTGAACTGTTTATTTAAACGCCATAAATAATACTGTTTCTGCATCAGGTGTGTCTTGCTCTTTTATGGCTGTCTCTCAAGCAAACAAAGAATGTGAGCTTTTTAGTTGATTTTCGGGAGTCGCAAGGCCAAGAATCCTAAATGAAGTGTTGCACTCCGGTTTAAGCTGCTTTACTTCACTTTGCTCAAGCTTAATTCTCGTTTTTCAAAGCTATATTTTTTCCAAGAACGTATAAGTGGAAATAATAGAGCTATTACATAAAATAATTATAACGGCTTATATTGATAAGTAATTCTTACAACTGATTTTCGATTTTGTAAAGCGAATAAAAATACCATTACTAGAAATCCCTACTGATGTCAAGTTCACAACTACATGTCATATATACCAAGGCATTGTAGCGTTTTTGGTCTGATCAATCATGTTAGCTAATCATTTGAGTCATTACCTGGCACTCTATCGAGCTGTATCGACCATATTTAGATTTTTCTCGAGATGTAGTTAGACAATTCAGAGTTCTCACGATAGCGTACATTGATAATTCTTCTCTAAAGCTGGTAATACAACAGTCTTATTGGCCTTTTCATAAAGAAAAAGATAATGGTTAGATTCCATTTCAGGCTTACCAACGAATCTTTAAATGAGGTATATTGGACCCCTTCATACACATGTTCATTATTAAATAAATGTTCATGGAATAAAATATGTTCGTAGAATCGTTTTACCAGCTTTAGCCAAACACAACAAAGTTTCGCTGCCGTAGTTTGGTGGTCCCGCTGTGGTGACCACGGCGGGATTCCATGCCCTATCAATGTTTCCAGAACATACCCATGCTTCGTAGAAAAACTCCCTTTCTTATGAACATTAGCTAATATATATTCGTCTCCGTGATGATCTCACTGACAAAAACTATGCTCTAAAACTTCTTTTTATTATAAAATACGAAAAAAATAGAGCTAGCGTTCCATAAGAAGCGATGGACCAAACATTAGGTGAATATATGTCCTCTGATTGTTCCTCTTTGTTAGTACAAACGATTGATGTCCTTAATCCGTAAACGATTTTTTTTCTGCATTGCCCGCAGCAGATACTGCGCTTTGTGTATTGCTAACGCAAGAACTGCAAAAATGTAGTACATACCTAACTTTCTAAGGGAACCGTCTGGAAACTTACAATTGCTATTCTACAACCTAGTTACAAAAAACATCTATTTATTAAAGTGAAAATTATCTGTGTAAGCAGTAACCCAATACCTCCAATAACTAGAGTCGATTCTTATCTCGTTTAGAGGACATATACTTTGGGATGCTCAGTGCAGTTTTTTCGACCCTCTACAATACATTTTTTTTTTTTAATTTCGCACAATAGCCAATAAGAGCTTAAACCTGATTATTCAAGCGGATGTTAGTTTTGGCTTTATTAGTAAACCGAATATTTAGGCTCTTACTGGCAGGGTCTTCTGACTTTGCCGTGATTAAGAAATTGCTAAGTTCTAATTGCTTGACATTTACCCTAGAAAACTAAAGTAGTTACAAGTATTCCTTTAATTACAACTGGCTCACAAATAACCAAAGTTCCCACTGCCAAAGCTCTGGTACCTGCTAAAACGTATGCCTGTGACGTGCAGCGCACTTAACCGCTCCAATAGCAGGTACAATATAAGGTATCGCTAGAAAATTTATCAGGATCAAAAAAATTATCATATTATGCTTTCTTCAGCCCGCGAGTCGCTTACAGAGCTGTATACGTAGAACTGTGATGGTAAAATTGAATCTAAGTATATGAAAACTCTAAAAACATGCGCTAAAGTATTTGCTCCACCATCTACTTCCCCTCGCGGCCGAATGTCCCCGTCCTATCTTGAAACCTCTACATATTTCACCTTTTCGTCTTATGTAGAATACTTTTTCTGTATCCGCATTTTCAAAATTCTGCATTGTGTGTTTTCGAATAGCCACGACCTCAGTTTAATAACAACGTTCGTAGTGATGATTCTAATCATTTATTAGTGTCATCTTGCTTATTAAATGCTGGACATCGTGGACTTCCCATCTCTTTGTTTCGTCAAAACATACTTGCGAGCTACAACTATCCAACTCCGTTCTCGAAGACCATTTGTCAAAATCACAATTATTTATATGTGTAAGTCAGACCTTAAAATTGCCGGGAAGAGGTACAGAGTGATACACAGGCAGTTCTGTAGCAATACCTTAAAATATAGATATTATGAAATGCATGCGATTCACCTAATCATGTCTGCCTATTAGTCAAAATTCACAAAAAACTATTTACATTGTAAACTGGCGATTGTGAATACCGTGCACTGTGAGGACATACTCATTATAGTAGTTATTATCTGCATAGATTTTTTACATATAAACTTGTCCTAATTTACCTTAAGCGTACGTTTTTCACCGACAGTAGGCTTACCATTATATCTGCATAAATAATTTCTATTCATACAGATTGTGTTATATATGTCGTTGGTGCGACATTATATAAATATGTGCCAATCTTTGCTCTCTTTTCTTATTGATTGGGAAATTATGTACTTTGGTCTGAGGCATTCACCCTAATTTACAGGCCTTCAAAACTCATTTCGAACACAAGCGGAAAAGCGAAACTGACAATCTGAAGCTCTGTCTTGAATATTCGAACTATGTCTGTGACGTTCTCCACTACCAGCTCTACTCTGTGGATCTGCTGTATAACCATAACTATGCTTCTCGTAATGAGACAGCTCTCCTCAGCTACATCTTGTTATACAACATATATGGTGTGTTTAGATTAAATCATCGACTGTCTGGTACACAACAAATGAAACAATCATCTTTTTGTGCCTAAAAATGCTGTAAGAAGAAAAGTTAGTCCATTTGCTATTCTTCTCTTTAGCCCCAACTGACATGAATGTAGCAAATTTGAGAGGCATTTCATTATACGTTTCCGATAGTTACCCAATATGAAGATTTATAAACATTAACCTTCCCATATCAGTTGTATACGAGACATTTGTGCTAGTAGGATAATGCACCCTTTGCCATTATGCTTGGACGTTTTTTGTTCGTTATGGAAAGAGATCAGTTTTAACAAAAAACATTACGAATGCTTACAAGTTTTAGTATTCCAGTTAAGTTTTCTATGACAACTGAAACAGTGTTGGGAGAGTAAATGTACAAAGTGTTGGTCGACAGATTACTAGGACTTTTAGTCGCCCAGACATACGAGTCATAAGATATAAGCAAAAAAGCCGTTCGCAGGCACCCTATTTCAGCAAAATCAACTCCTTTCACTTCAAAAGATACGTAGGTGAACAATCGGGAAAATCCAAGTAGGATTTCTAAGCAGTTCCTAATCTAAAGTCACAGCTTGGTGTAGACTCTGAGAGAAGGTGTGATCATGCAATTCTTTTTTAAAGACGACATGAAGTAATGAACAGTAATCAATATTATACAGTAATGAATAATTTTTTATCATTCTTTTTATTTTAAAAACAGGGCTTTTCGACGTGGAGATGTGCTTTCATTAAGGAAGTGCAACCCGTCACACAACACCTCTAAACAAAGCAATCTCCAAAAAAATTACGGTTTACGGGTTACCTACTTTGAACCCCTCCGGCTATTCTTCTTGAGCTTCCTTTAAAAACTGTGTATCCCCGTACCGCTCCTAATTTAGCCCAAAAATAGCACTCGAAAGGTTATTGCAGAAACAAAGGACAAAGCGTGATAAATGTCATTATGTGGCCAACCTACTGTATTTATGTTGCGGAATGTCATTCATCATATGTTATTTTTATACGTAGCTCTAATACTCACCTTTACAATAAAAATTATAGTAAACCTTTCTGACTCTGTTTCAGTTGTTTTGTTTGCTAATAAAAAGCCAAGTAACTCGCTAGTCGCCTAGATTTGGATTTCTCTTCAGTTGCTGACATGACAGATTAGCGCAATTCATTATCGACGTGAAGATCTAAATTGTTTGTGATTACGAGTGTATGAATAAATAAATAAAATGCTTCCTTTTCTCGACACTTGCCTACTGTTCAAATATTACAAACTTGCTCAGGAAAGTGATAGGCAGCATAATGAGCTCATTGAACTCAATACACAAACATGTAGAGTTCACATAATTTAATCTAAGTTATTTCGAGCCTTCCATTTTGATATTTTTTATAATGGCGCAGAAAATATTCTTCTAGTGTAAAATTAATTTATATGTACATACATCTCAGGCAGTAAAGGGCATTTTTTTATATTAAATTAACTGCAAATATTATTAAGGAAAGGCAAATAAAGATAATCTGCAACATTTATTATTTCAGAGTTGCCGATATAATTACCAGTGCTGCTCTAAAATATGCGGTGGCCATCCACAAGTAACTGTTTGCCTATAAGCATCGATCAGGAGGAGCTGTGTTATTTAACATTTATCTATCCCAGCCTCATTGTAATCAGGCTGCTTATTTTGGCAAAAAAAGGGTAACAACTAAAAGAATGAGTCAAATCATCAATTGACTAGTGACAATTCGCGAGAGTGGGATTAAAGAGAGCTCCGTTTTAAAATGTTTCAATAGAATAATACTCGAGAACTTCAGAATCTTTTTTTCAGAAATATTTTGAAATATTATGAAAATCATTTGAATGAAAAATTTTGTTATCATAAAAATGAAGTATTTTTACGAGATCAATCCAAAAGGAATCATTGATTTGGTTGTACAATGGTATAATATCTATTTTTTGTTTAAATTATATATAGTACATAGAACTATAACACGCTTAAATTAATATAGACACAACTTGAGATAATTAGTGTACTACAACCTAATTTCTTTCGAGAATACATTTGCAAAAAAATAATCCTATGAAACCCTAATTACCTGCAAAAACTTAAATTTAATTTTTTAAATAATAAGTCAAAATGTAATAAAATAGATTATATCTCTTTATATATTTTTTGCTCTGTATATACTCAGGAAATATATAGATATTTCAAATGGCGTAGTATGTTTGGAGCATGTAATCCTTTCTTGAAGTAATTTACAACACATTCATTAGGCTTGCAAAGCAATGCTTCTCAAAAATCAGTTTATGTGAGTCACCTAATCCTTCCTATGTGGTACTGCTTATTTCGTAATATATGTTTTTTAATTAAGATAAAAGGCATGCTTTTTATAAGAGAAATCCAAGTGATGTAATATGCATGCTGCAAGTAATTTGGATACCATCAAAGTTTTCTTAAGTTCCTTACTTTAAAAAAAAAATTTTTTCAAGAATTTGTGTTACTTACCGAATGTACTGAGCGGGTGCCTGTTTATCAGTCGTCCGAACGGGCATAGCGGCAGATATTTTGGAATGAGTCAACTTTTCCAGTGCCTTTTTGGTATCTTCTGTAATTCTTTTGATGGCCTCGTCATCCGGCTTCTTTAACTCTTCTTCATCATCGGCGGTTATTTCATAAGGCAATAAATCCTGGAGTTTTGAGTACACTACCTTATCAGCATTTCCGCCTTGTTTCAGTAACGCGTCATATTTTACTTTACCTGCAATTTTCATTCTGCTTTTACCTCAATAACTACTAGCACACGGAATACTGAATACAGTATATATATATATATATAATATATATATATAGTATATATATATATATATATAATATATATATATAGTATATATATATATATATATATATACAGGGCGATTTATCCAAAGTGAGAACTTCTGTTATGAGTTTCAGAGTTATCTGTTTCCTAGACTGTTTCTAAACAAAAATAAAATTTCAATGAAATGTTTCTGAAGGTCGCGTAAAAACTACTCAGGATTTCAGCCATTCGTTGTATTCGTACAACTGTGACGCAGAAAAATGTATCGTTAAAAATTCTATATATATATATATATATATAATGAAGTGGATTTAGCAATAGCAGCCTATTTACATACCTTGTGCATCAAGTTGAACCGTTATTGCATTCCCAGTTGGTTTATCTTTCTTCTTACCCATTTCGAGGGGGTATTGGGCAACCTGAATCTCGGGATACGCTCCTCCGTCACCATAGTCACCTACCTAAAAATTATTGACATAAAAATATTTTCACGCATTTTATTTATTTCTGAAGTTAACTGTCTATTGGAGGGAACGTTTGATATGAATATAATATTCAGGCATTTATGAGCATCTGTAATTGAAGGCATAAATAACTTTCGGTACAACCGTCAGCTGCGATGATTTCGCGAGGCTCTTTTAGGATAGAATTAGTACGTAGCACGTAGCACCAATATTATTTCATGAATACTATGAATTTAATATTTTATTTTATTGCAATGGACAATAACAGACTGATTAAATCATTATTAAGAAATGGCTGAGCGCGATGGGTATAGTGCGCCTGAGAATCTGACCATGTTTAACCGCATATCTGAATGTAATTCCCATTTAATTAGCAAGCAAGCTGAAAAAATAGTCGAATATTAGTGTAGACATTCCATTTCTAGCTACTGTAGATCGTGAAAGCCACCGGAAACATCTGCGAGGCTAGCTAAAAATAAGATCCACAAAGTCTTGGAATATATAAGGGAACGACAGATAACAAGAAGGCTATTCTCTACTAGTGCACTGCATATTCTTTAGTCCAATATTCTCAAAAATGATGTCATAGTTAAATGTGTTAACCTTGGTCATTGTAAGAATGATAATAATAAGTATTTTTATTTATAATTTATTTACCAAAACTTGTAGCCTAACGTCACAAGCAAGTTTTTTTTTCTGAATGTATGAAAGGGGGGCTTTTTATATTCCAAATCATACGGAGGCCACCATATCTGGTGTATCGATATATGTAGGCATAAAATATGTGTAGAGAATACTACTAATTAAAGAGGTATCGTTTGGGGGGGGAGGGGGTAAGTAATTACTTTTCGAAAGCTTTTACCAATAATGAAATTGAAGCCGTACCTTGTACTTTCCCTTAGCGTAATAGCACATTGCTTTGCATACCATAATTAGAAGAAGCTACGCGCTATTTTTTATATGCAGTCGAAGTTTTGTACTGTATTGTAAATATGGATGTCACTACGACTTGTTTTTACAAACGAAGGCATTATTTGCTTGCTTTTGAAGCGCAGTGTTGATGAAAGATTATTTACTGCCGCATTTTAGCTTGACGCATCTAATTTATTAGTCTCACTTAAATTTAACACACGGGTCAACAATAATACTGCATAAGCTGAGATAAAGTACACGATATTGAAGATGCCAACACATTTCCCTGCTTAATTCTACTTTTCTAATGCGACACAGATACAAGTCTCTCTCAAGTTTACGTTCCATTTTGTGATCGAGTAGAATAAAAGACTCCATATACTAGATAGCGATATATAGGCGTTCACACAGAGTTATCTATGTTATATATATGAAATATAGCTAAGCAAAAAATACATCGCGTTTATTTACTGTTCATTGCCTCTTTTCTATGTACCTTTCTTGGTGTCCATCCTCGTCTTCTACCATAAATAGGAATGTGCGCATGGGGATCCTTCTTAGTTTCGATAACTAAATTTCCGCTTGCTTCCTGTTGTTCTCGCGCAGAATAAATTTTTTGCGTTGGTGCAGGGAGAAGTGATCGAAGACCTGCCATTATGGTTCGTTATCTGCGTTTATAAGACACCAACAACACGGACTAAATAATATTAATAACAATTAGATAGAGCCTTAAAAGTATCAGCTCGTTTCAAAAGGTTTTACTTTACACACCGCATAGAGTTAGCATAGGACCCAGGGGCAATCCATTTTTAAATCACGGTTTGCAAGCAGTTCAGAGAGATTTATTCATAACAGTGTATATGCAATTCAGCTTCGGGTCTTTGCATAAAGAACCACTCGGATAATTGAGCCATTTAGGTTACGAGCGGCCCACCCTCATGCTACCCGATGCAACGGTCAGATTGACTAACAACGACGTAACCAATCTAAGAAGGATCTCAGGTGATTTTTTAATGTTTTTTTTTATGTTTTAATGATAACTACGCGCACCATACGCTTCGTCCTGCCATACATCTAACTGTGTGTGTTTAATATCAGACTCAATTTAAGGTTAGTCATAACATACACCCGGAATGATCCCGCGGTTCGTTTACAGTTATTTCATTTGTTTGTTTGAATAAATATGGTGGAATTTCACCTACATAGCTTAAAATAAAATACAGTTGCATTACAGACCTAGATCTTTACAGTTATCCAGTTATTGTCTCCTAGGTTAATGCGTTAATTCAGTTTTTCCGTTTAATTGATTGTCCTTAATTCAATAACTTTATAAGCAACATTTATACCGTTGTAGCTATTCTGCTTTTGTAGTTACGTATTCCGTTTTTAATTGGAAAATCTCCCATTAGCAATTCTGTAAATACGCTGCGATTATCTCACTAACCAGTTCTAATATATGAGTAGCGTTACACCCAACTATGACACATTCTTCGCTTAGACACTGGCACCCATACAAGCGTACCCGGCACCATTAAGGAAACCAATTCGTTCATATTAGAGAAGATTGAAACTTTAACGATCCACAAAAAATCCGTTCCGTTCTATAAGAGCTATTTTAAGTGCGTCAGGCAGACAAACACCCAAAGACACACTCTCAGTAATCGACACGGTAAATATACAAATCGCCAGAATAGCGCAGTGCGTAATGTATTAGCCTATTAAACTTACGAGTACGTAGTTGTCTAGGTTCAATTTCGTTTCAAGTATAGTTCATAACGGCCAAGTATCGGACATTAAATACGAAAAATTTTATCGGACTTTGATAAATAGACTAAATATAAAAAGACTAGATATAAAATATAAAGATATGAAAGTTTAATTTTTTAGTTATAATAATTTTAGCAGATTATATGTTTATGAAATTTACGTAATAAAAATGCATAAACCAAGGGAAAATATCTTTGCAAATAAAACGTGTAGCATCATCGAAAAAAATTAAGCATGAAATGTCAAATATTTATTTTCATAGTGCACGTGATAATAGTACTGTTGGGTCAACGATCTCAGGAATCGCCGATTGGCTTCTGCCTGTTGTTATGCTGACTCAAACACTGAACATCAGTGTATAAAATAAACCATTTTTCGAGAACAGCATTTTTGCTTTACAGTAGTACTTGATGCAATATAGGTAGTACACAAGTATATATTGCTCAACTAACATTATTGCACAAATTGATGAATAGGTTCCACAGTTTTATATGCGTATAAAAATGCTCATAAGTGTAACCTATGAGACTAACAGTTCAACTTTATTCTCAGGATCGATCCAGATACATTTCCTACCAAACTGACACGTTAATCAGAAACAGTTTTATCGAAAAATTTAACCATTTGTATAAAATAACATAGGTTAAAGTCACGACTTAAAAAAATTGTATTTTTCGTACAACCTTAACTGCATTCATCGATAAACAGTCACAGCACAAAAGCGTATGGAAAAAATATTCAAATCACGTTACCTTTTCTAGTAAAACTGCAAAGCTTAATTATTTGTGTATTTTTTTCTCAGTCTGCATGAAGAGCACAACTTTGATTTACCCCAACTGTCACAAAAATAGCTCGTGAATACCTCTTAAAGCAAGGATTAGTCCTGCGACTATAGAATTTTCAGTATCTAACAAATTAGCACACAATTCGAGAAAATGAAACAGTCTATTCTCTCTAATGTCTAACCGGTAAGAACACATCGAAGGAAACGGAGCTAAGTATTCACATCAAAATTCGGCCACGCTTAATTACTTAAAGACCCAATTTATTCAATGTTGAGTCTGCTAAACTGCTTCTGGTCTTCGAATGAATGGATGCATGCTTGTTTTTAGTCACTCTCGTGCAAGCAAACAAGAAATATCAATAAGAGACACAAGAGGGTAAATGGACCAAGTCTTGGACGAGTTCTAATATTTTAAACGGTGGAAAGCCGCGAGGGTCCTATTATAATCTTACAGCTCCCCTATCCGCAATTGTGCAGAATCTTGGAAACTGAAGACAATTGACATTTAGGGATTAAAAGGATGCTGTTGAATAAATACTATGCATTAGATAATATGCAAAGTTGCTTGGCATATAATGATAGTAGATTGATTTGATTGCACTTCGCTCACCATTTTCCTTACCTCGAACGCCAAAAAATAGACGAACAAAACCCGCTGAATACGACGGCGCACACCTGTGGTTTTTGAGACTTTTTTTTTATCATAGCGTATTTAATACTTCAAAAGAAAGAAGGCTTTCACTTTAAACCCACAGACACTTTTTTGATAGACTCCTATAAGCTACCGAAGTATTTTGGCGGATTATAAATCTGATGACGTCTGGATGGAATTTCACCATTATTTCAAACACCTTGACGACTGAGAGAATGATGTTTTATTTCTGTTAATATAATTTTAAGCTTTTTTAGCTAACCTGACAAAACTGTATTTTGATGAAACACAGACGTTAGGTCTAATGTTCCTTAGGATACACGTCTTCAGTCACAAAATCAATCAAACATCGCATCGATATATCGTCTATCTCTGAAATTAATTAATGTATTGCGCAACAAATCTGACTACAAAGTAAGTTATGTTTTTTATTGGAGCTGTCCGCAGATCATTTTCAAACGCTTTACGTCAAAAAGTTACATTAATAAAATACCAATATAATTAACAATTTGACATATCTTTTATTTATCAAAATGTTGCTATGCGATTTTTTGGGCATCTAAGCACCATGAAGTTTGATCGAAAAAACATTCATACATACTATTTAATCATAATTAATGGAAAATCTTAACATCATTCACGATTTCCATTTTAAACTACTGTTGTCTTTTTATAAAAAAAATTAAGTAATTAATAATTTTTCGCACACAACAAAATTTAAGTTTGCTAAAAATTAAAGGTTGTTTAAAAGTCATCTATTCTTTTTATTCAATATTGCTAAACACTTTCTACTATTTGACATTTGTAGCAATTAAAATAGGCGCAGTAATCTGCATACAAAACTGCATGTTATAGGGAACGACTTTGTGATTGTTTTAACACTTCAAAGTCGATACAAAGATACGTCAGGAACTCTAGACAATATTAGCGTATGCGCATGACAACAAGATACAAATTGTATCGTTTCATATCAACGAACTATTTCTTTGAATGGAATAACTTAAAAATCAGATCTTTCATCGAACACGTTTTGCGTTAACTTCTATTGTAAAAGGAAAAGTTACATAAGGACTGATTGTCGGCAATGCACAGCAAATAGTAGATAAGCAGAGATAATAAAAGATAAACGAGATAACGGACTGTTTTAGATAGCAGGCATTTCATAACCCGTATATACTTAAAACGGATATGACTGGAACAAATAGAGGATTTATTGAAAGGTTATGCGAGATTGAGACGATATTGACGAGAATGATGACACGGTGTGAGTTGCGGCTTAAAGTTAGAAAATAGTAGTAAAGTGGTAGAAGTACGTATTAATATCCCTTATAGGATATACATATATCGAATCATTGAATGTACTATTACCGCTTTTTTAATGTATGTAAGGGTGGCCGTATTAAATTCGGGCTTTTTTCGGCTGGCCCTGGTGGATTCCACCAATGCGTTAGTGCGAAACTGGTATCATTGCAAACAACTTTGTTTTTGTGTTCGTTCTAAACAAACTTGCCACGACGAAAAGCAATTTGTTGTTTTCGGGATCTCTGAAAAATTAGCTATTATACAATGTCTTGGAGCTAAACTTTCACCAAATCGAGCGTACAGGGCATGCTAAGTGAGTATGTGGTTATAGAGGAAGCAGAAACAAGTTACAGTACGGCCAGACCCGGAGATAATCGATACTGTTAAAAAGTACATTTTTGCTGATCATTCGGTTTTAATGGGGGCTTTGACGAAAGAAATTCAACTAAGCAGGACTAGATTGCCACAGGTCTTTTACGAGGATTTTAGATACATCTCATATCTCATAAAGGCCTGAGAGATGCTTTGTGAGAGCAATAAAACCAAGAACATTTATCGGCATTATTTGCTGCTTACTTTGTTTCTCCTCACGAATAAAACAGCTGGCCTTCTTCGATTCTTCTCTGACAGGAAAACGGTTATTTACGTTTGTAAAAATTGTTACAATCCACCTAGCATGCTCACAATCCAGAACATAGGCCCACTATGTGTAAAAGCAATTTTTCGGTCTCCAATCTGAGTGCAATTTTCAGTAAGGAAAACGCCACCCCACCATACTTTTTTAAGACCTGTGAACGCGTTACCAAAAAAAAATTACCTGTATCTTTTATTAAAGGTTTAGGCGACCGTAACTAACTAAATGCCTAAAAAGGGCAAGACAGTGCACCAGTTTATACTAGCCGGTTAATGCAGGACTGGCTGCTTGAACATATCAGCATATTCTGGGGTGACCACATACGACCGTTAAACAGCTCAAGCTTAAACTGGTTGGATTATCATATATAAGACATGATTGATCGAAAGGCTAGCAAGTCTCGTCACTATAACGGCGACTTGCTCACTCGTTCCATCAAATTCGCGCATTTGCAAAGGAAATATTTGAAACATATCTGTGAGCGGAGTAGGTCCTAAATCAAGGTAAATCGCGGTAAATGGTCAGGAATGACACTTTTAGCGCATGCAAACATTTTATTGAAATATCTGTCTTGATCTGGATACGGTCCTAATAATAAAGCACAAACAAGGTTTCTGATTTAGTCCATTCTGCGCAATGTTATAAAACGAGGCATATGGAACTCCTATCGCCTATTTTTCTAAGTTATTTGTTTTGAAAGTCTGAATGATATGGGTTTCTTTTTATTATTTTCAAAAGTACATATGAGGAATATCGATACTGAGGCTTTAAATAAGGAAACAGTGAATTTGTTTGGACAGCATTAGTAAAAAAAATCGTTGAACAATAGGTGATGCGAAAGGAACCAGTACTTCAAGTATTTAAAGAGTAAGTTGACCAAGCAATTGAGATTTCGGTATAGTTGTTACTGTTGATCGATCTGACAAGTTCATGTGAAAGTGGAGTGGAATATAAATCTAGTCTATCGACTATCTATGTTGCACTTATTGCCACACTGGCGTTATATGGCATTATATGGCATTATATATATAATTTAGAGGGATATATTTTTGTAAGGGCAATTTATTGACCGTACAGTTGTATAGGTTTGTGGCAAATTATTTTTCTTTACGTGACAATAGTAATACATACACTCAAGCCGAAAAGCACTGTTTAATTGCTTCAATGTCCGGCACACGTTTTAGAGTGTTAGAAGTTATTCTCAAAAGTAATGTTTTCGAGTAGACAAATAAGTTGGCAGTACCAGCATACTCAAAATCGTAAAATCAATTTTTCAATTGAACTTTTGTTCCTATGGCAGTAATGTAGTTCTTACTGGGATACACATTCCATATTAATTTTCTTGCACTTACCGTTTGTAACATAATCGAAAGCATGTTAGTGTTTTTGACATAAGTAAGATCTCAATAACTACGCATGCAATACTAGTGCCGGTATTCTAATAAAAAGTGGTCGCCTATAAGATAATTATAACTGAAAAACTTGGCAAGAAAGTCAAAACACCTCGGAAATTAGTTCATACGGAAATTCCGTAAATATTTTATAATACAAAATATGAAACTTGGTTTACTTGTTGAACATATCTATTCAGGTTGGTCTGATTGCTTACCTCAGCGTCAGTGAAAATTATTGCCATGTATTAACAACCAGTGAGAGTAGGAATTAACGGGAATTATTATTTAGATTAATAGCTACCTCTATGGTTTCCATGCCCTTTCATAGGTTAGATGCCCGATGAGGAAGTTTTTGATGCTATGCACCGAGGATTTCACATAGGTATAATAACTACAGGTGATGTAAAAAATAAGTCAGAATTATGCTCAGCTTTATTTTCTCTTATCTTAATATGCTATACAGTGGTATCAATAAACGTCCTGAATATTCCTAGTTACTAGTATGCATCATTCACTGTAAATTATTAACGTGCGTCTTTGTTGAGTTGAATTGTGGATTTCAATAAAAAATAAAAATACATAATCCATGGAGTGACGACAGTGTTCTCTATAAATAACTAGAAAAATACAAGCTAATTCTTTCCGATTATTTAATTTAGTCTATTAAAGTTCCTATATTACACACGTTTTTGTCTACGTTTGAAAAAGAGAAAGCTGGCGTAGGAAAAGATCATTGCAGACCATCAAGGACCATCAAGTGTCGTCGACACACTTTGGGTGTGTTTGTTGTTATTGTGATATCTGTTTCTGATTTTGTAGCATAGGAGACAAAGAGTCCGCCCACTGTTTGTCTGCACTGCGTACTGTACAGCTGGCTGAAAGGCGGCACTTGGTTTCAGGTTCTGCTATTTGTACTCGCTTTGACTGTGTAGGTAATATTTACTAGGAGAGTTGAGAGAAATAATAAAATCCTTAAGATGTCCACTTCTTCCTGTGCAGCGGCTCGGCCCACGGGAAGCACGGGCCACGGTGACAGCGAGGGCCAGTGCTTACGGAGCTATGTGAGTAATGATCCTATAATTAATAAATCTATTGAGGTTAATTAGAGCATGTATTGATAAGCAATGACATTCAAATGATTTGTGAAATCAAAGCATTGACGGAAATAACTAATGAACAGTGTGCGCAAGTAATATGAAAATTCTGAAAGTAAGCTCTAAGCAGTTGTTCCAAATGATTGAACAGCGACATCACGGTTGTTAACATCCTTATGCCCCAATAGATTTCAGTACACCCTTAAATTAATGTTTTTAGTATACTTTACAAAGTATTGTTCATTCACAGAAGCTTAATATATCTATGTTATTTAACGAAATTTTATAATTATGCACTTAGTAAAGTGTTCAACCTTTTAAGGTTTCCTTTAAGGGTGCTCAATTTGTTACTAATAAGGAAACGATTTTAAGCTGATTAGAGTTGCTTCCTTCTTTTATAAATAAGGAGTTTAATAACACTCGATGCTATTAAAAAGTACAAAATGACCAATTATGCTGAAAAACTAAAAAAGAATAACATTATAAACAGTTAAATTCATTTAGCCAAATAATGTTCGTTTATGACAAAACACGATAAAGCATTCTAAACTAATGTGGAGTAATCTTGTATCATTCATTTTCTCTAGTATGCAATTTCGCATAACGGCATATGGAAAAATAAATGTCATTTGCTTCTAGTTGATTATATTTCACTTCGTAAGTAATAAATTCGATCAGGAAGAGAGATTATTACCGAGTAATGCAAATTTTTAACGCTGTAAAATACTGCATGCAGCAACAACAAGGTATCAAAGACGACAATTGTAGTACGATCGCCTCATTTTAATTAGAACTTTAGTTATTACCATACTTACTTGAAAGGCTCATTTTTTTTCACCTACTTGTATATAGAAGAACACGTTTTAAAGTAAAGTTTATTTCACAGATGTTAGCTCGTATTCGGGGAAGTGAACGCCGTGTAGAATACGAATACGCACTTTCCAATTTTGTTTTCTAAGAAACTTGCAAACCTATTTAATCAAAAAAAGTCTGTGACACAACAACATGGTACACAATCTTTATCGGGCTGCAGATTTTATTATATCGGGGTTGTCAGCGGAGTAATGTATGCCGTAGAACCTAGTTAGCTATTCGATCAATTCTAGAGTGTCGTTACATGTAAGACATCACCATGCCGCTATCTTTTTTCTCTAATTAATACTCAATTCTAGCTATAATCGATGAGCTATGCATATACTGAAATAGAAAAATCTGCCTCAGTAATTTACACTTACTATTTAAATAGAAAACTACATGTTCAGGGTGGGGCATTCAAGTTCAGATATACTTTGGCGGACTGTCCTACTATGGACTACTTTCACTTGCAGTTTTTGGGACCGCAAGAAAGCCAGTTGTTTTTAAAGTAAATTGACAAACTCACTAGTGTAAAAAGCAAAGCGTCATCTACAAAATTTGATCGAAGACCAGCTATTATTCAATTATTTTATAAAGGACAAACCCCGCACCGAGCCTAAAAACTTATTTTGCCTGAGCTTTGTCTGAGAAAAGAACCGAAACACCTTCAACGGACTTTTAATTTAATGGGTTCCAAAAATCCATTAAAATGTATCAAAAAGTAATTTTTGATACATTTCGATCCTTAAATAGAAACGGACATTATGATAAGCCAAATATCAGTCGCAAATTGGGACGTCCAACTAAGCTTTAATGATTAAATTTATTGAAATAGACCTTTTATACTTTTTAGCAGTTTTTTTTTGCGTTTTTGGGACGTTGAATCTGCTATCAGTCCATTACTTTATTCTGCTGGAACTTTTTTGTACGTAATATAATGGAATGACTTTGTAACAAACGTATGTCTGCCAATATCGATTGAAGCATAATTATTAATCAAAAAGTTATTTTTGAATCAAGGTAGGAGTACTTTAAAAATGCTTGGTAAGTAATCCCGAACAGTCTTTAAGGAAACGCCTACTAGAAAAACCCGATACAACGACTTTTAAATGGTCACAGAATACCTGTATGGAAATATCGACATATTGGACTCATATTCGTCTGCTCTACTTATGATATGACAGTGCGCACTGCAGAAGCGGTTAAAGTAGCATGAAACGAAATGTGAGCATATAACTTGATTTATACGGAGCCCAAGTGATACATGAGAGGACATACTGCTTTCAAGTTTGAGCTTCTTACCACCAACGAGTCTTTGTAGTATTCTTGTAGCGTGTTTAAGATAAGTTTGTAAAACAAATAGTATATGAGTGCAGTGTTACACAAATCAGTGTAGCAGGGTTGGTGTAATAAGGAATGCAACAAAGGAAGTTTAATCTAAAGACAACTAGTATGTGATCTTCTTCTGTAAAGATCCTAGTTTGATATCTAGAAGACTTTCACAGAAGATGTGAATAACTGAGCCATATGCAGTACGATTTTCTAAATGTTATCCATAGGAATGGGAATGGGCTCAAGGCCCACTTAAATTACTTCTTTTTTATTAAGGTTATCGTTTCTTTTTCGGGTTGTTTCCGAAACCTCCCCTGCTTTTGAGAAGCACAAGTTTGTTTAATCTTTTAGGCAGTGCTATTCTTTAATAGCAACAAAGATCTTCACTCCAGAATTTATGGATAGAGACAACGAGATTGTGTGGTGACAAAAAGTATACAAGTGCCATCTGTATCCAGCGGTCTAGCCAGGGTATCAGCTTTCTAAAATAAGTGGAAACGGGAACGTTTTTACCGAAAAGCAACGTATTACTATTTTTCAATGGTCTTAATATAAAAACGTTCTCCCAAATATTGGTGCAGAAGGTTATCGATTCTTCATGATTTATGATGCCACGTTCATCCCGAAAGAAAACGCCGTTTGAATTAAGCTGATTAAGGTTGGCCGTAACTAGAACCCTTCAATGATTGTAGTCGATCCTTAGATTCGCCCTAGCTATTTTCATCAGAGATAGTCGTTAAAGGTTGATTTTTCAAAATATTGGAAAGGCGCGGAGTAGTTTCAATGTTTGAGAAACAATGACGCTTAAACTACCGAGCTATCTCCAAGCTGCAAAAGGTTTGAAAGAACGATGAAACGAAGAATGTACTCCTCGTTTGAATTTATGTGATGGATCATAAATATACTTCTTTGGTAACAATGTGCGTCAACTATTTAGTAACAGAGTTTCCATCAATTGTCATGTATCCGATCCAGATAGCATGTGCTCCGCGGGGCAGAAGTTTTGACCTCTTACATTCCTTTGCTGTTTTCAATAATACCGTTGACATTAGCAAAAATCTCAAGCTGAGTCTTTGCGTTCATTATACTGGTTGTACTTGTAAATCCTGCAGAAACGGATAGAAAGCAGAGTTTTGCGTTACTACTGATGTGAACAAATATGTTTTCATTTTTTTTTTTCGTAAAGATAAAATTAGTCCATGTAACCCTCCAAGTAATGCTGGCTCACAAATAACTAAAGTTCCCGCAACTACGGTATACGATTACCCTAAAGCGTCTATCAAGCGGCCATGTACCTAACTTAAGCGCGTTCTAGATTAGCTCTAGGAGCTATAGATACTATTTTTAGGATTACAATTTTTTTTTGAAGCCAGTGAATGTTTTTCTTTGTATTATACTTCTTTAGCTCTAATCTAAGCGACATAATTGAATCTATAATAATAATAATTCAAAAACGAGCACTAGAAGATATACCTCGTCTTTTTCATTAAAATCATCAGCTTTCAATTTTGAAATCTTACACCTTCTGCTTTCTCTGCTACGCTTAGTACGCAGTTATCCAGTTCAAGCAGTTTTATTTCAATTCAGTCTATTACTCGTTCACAATGACCTCATTACTTTGTTGCAGTTCTTTTTTCTCATCATTCATTTTGTTCTCTCATTGCAATCCATTTGTTACTACATTAACTAAATCCCACTTTTCGAAGAGACAATTGATATTACTTCCAAGTTGCTATAATACGAAACAAACTGTGCTACATCTCTATATAGTCAATCTTGAGTTTTACATATGGCGCTGGTTTAAGACATTATTTAACCCAAACACTGGTTCAGGCGCAAACATATTGGGCTATTATCAATACATGATTTTTAACAGTGATTTACAGTGGCCTCTTGAAATTTCCTTGTAATTCCGCGCATTTATTGCATCATAATTAAGCTGTTTTGTAACTTTGTATTGATCCATTTTATTTTTATTCATAGATTCTCAACTCATAGATATTAGAAATTAAGGAAAGCTCTGTTACGGAAACCTCAGAATTCATTAGTAGATAATGACCAATTCGCTCGAAAATGTTCTAAGCTGCTTTAAATTCAATGGGAATTATTTTCTAAGTCAGTCACCATATTTGACGGCCACCTCAGGATGGAATTTTGCTAAGGTCAATTATAAAATCAAACCACTTACTCTGTGTGCGTCATTTTAGGGGATTTGACAGAAACACAGATATTCAGTCTTTGTTATATACAGGTACTACGGATTCACAAATATTGCTTGAATTATGGCGCGTAGCATTAGTTATTCGACTCCGATTACTTTGTTCCACCTCACATGTTACGTTTTTATAGTTATTTTAACGGCCTCTTTAAAAATAAACAATTCTGATTCACTTTATTTAGCAGGCATAAGTTTTTACAGTTACTTCGTTTTCTAGAGGTCTAACAGTACCAATTACGTTATTCTTTTGAAACAATTTTATCGTCGTCCGGTAAATCTGTTACCCTGCTTTGCGTATTGTTCTCCTTGTAGTACTGCTGCCACTCTGCGATTATTTAATCAACCTATTCTAATATTTGATACGAGTTACACCTAATCCAACATAGGCTATTGATCAATTACACCAGTACATTTACTGGAACCCTTTTTTGCAGTCCTTCTGAAACCCTCTATTAAATCTGATTACAATAACCATATTTCTTAGATTAGCTGAATTTCTTATTCTGTATCAGTAACCCCGTTTTTGGTGCAGTTTTTATTAGTCACCCTGCATGAATGAATGTCTCATGAATCTCGTTACTTTATACGATGAATCTGTTAACGCACTGTATCCAGCTGTTTGAAAAAACAACTGAGCACGATCTAAGAAATATACACAAATTTTACTTTTCCGTTGTAAATGTAAACTCAAGCTCAGATCGTGCACGCGGGGCCCGAATAAAACTTAACCATTCTACGAGGTCGAGTTAAGCCGGACAAATAAAGATACAGACAAGCAGACATTCAGCTTTAGTAGTGTATTTGTATACCGTGGATTAGTAGAACTCATTATTTATGGTGAACCATTACTTGCACGACTTCGCCGGGCATTTCGTGGTCGGCATTTCGAGTTCTCATACAGCGTTTACTTTCACCAGATTAAACTAATGAGAAAGAACGAATATAGAGTGCTATAGCAACTGAAATAATACTAGGTAAGATATAATAATATAATGAAGATAGATAAGTACAACTAAACTGTAGTATATGTTGTGCTGTAATATTTGTAATAACAACATGGCAAACCTATATTATACATCGCTTGTACATAAAAGTAGGTAATAAGCAATCTGCAGAAGTCTTTGTTTTTCGCATTCCACAAGCTGTATTTGGACCGTTAGGTATTACTTTAGACGCTTAACTTCCGGCATGACACCAAGTATATCCAGGTTCGAACCTAAACCACCTGTGGTGTTAGCAGAAATGACAATTTTGTTTCGCAATTGCAAATATTTGAAGAATCCTAATGTTTTCAAAACCCGGTTTTATGCCCGATTTGTAGATATTAGAAATTAAACAAATCTTTGTTATAGAAGCTTCGAAATTTATTAACGGTTGATGACCGAATCGCTTAAAAAGACCACCTATGGTGATCTAGTAAGCTTAGCAGCCAAACACGTTATCTCTTTGCGCTATCACCGGGACATCTGTAGAAGTCTAAAGTACCCCATTTAGGGCATTCTTATGAAGTTTCAATATGTTTTATAAAATAAAAACGGAAGAAAAAATAAATAAAACTTTTTTCGTCTTTTCAACCTGTGTAGCATCAGCATCTGATTAACATTTCGGAGGGCAAGGAACCGGATATTGTCTTTCTTGGGGATCATACAACAGCTTTTCTCTCTATTACCCAGGTAAGTGGGTCTGTTCTGGCTTAGCGCGCTGACGTTTAGTAGAAGGATTCTGAAAGTCCTCGAAGTCCAAACATAAAAATGTATGAGCATAATCTTATTACGATCGAATTATAAGATTTTTTGTACGTAGTATCCCTTTGCATACTTCCGTTACGTGCAACAGAATCTGATATGCACAAGTCAATTTTATACACTGGAGCTAGATAAAAAAAAACATTGAGTATAATTAAAATTGTTAACTCTGGGAAAATATGAGAATTTTACGTATTGAAGCATACATTTCGGGCCTAAATGTGAATGTTTTCCGTTTAAATTAAATTTAGACAGTTTTGCTGATTCATGGCAGAATGTGCGGCAAATTCGAGAAGTGAAGGTCGATAATAATATGTATGATTCGACTTACAGAACTAAGGTCCCATTCCTAAATGAAACCAAAGTTAAATATTTTGATGTACTACTAGTAGCAAGAAGAAAATATCTCAAACGAAACACCGAATTTTACGGTAGTGATTCCGATAAACAGAATCACTCACTTTTTTTTGAAGTAGACAGTTTAGTTACAGGTAAAGGCCTTAAGTAAATCTTTATAAAATCTTAAGATTATCGATTATATATGAAAATATTTTTTTTATTATTAAGTTAACGATAATAAATTATATCGCTGTTTACTTGGACTTGGATACGCAACCGTGTCCTAAATATACGGAAGCTAAAATGGAGTGGGTTAAAAACGTCCAGTTTATATTAATGCTTCCGGAATGGAGAATAAAAGCAAGTCTCTCTGCATGTTTTCATTGTTATATTAGGTCAACCTAAAAGGCTTAAGTTACATTACATGTAGAAATTATTACCCGCCAAATGTCACTCTAGGGACTATTTGCAGCAGTGTTCTATTGGTATTTTCCTTCACATAGCCCCACAGAAAAAAAAAAAAAACGAAAGGAGTCAAATCACAGGAGCGGTCGAGATTAGCCGGTCTGGGAATATGGTTTCAAGCAGATTGATTGTTGCAGCGCTAAATGGCGAGTTGGCTCGTCTTGTTGAAGCCGACAATTGTTTGCATTTTATACCCTCATTTCGGTCTACAAAAAGGTTTGGTACATGTTACAATGGAACTTGCCATCGGTTTTTGCTGCAGTTTCATAGTCACTTTTGAAGAAAAAAATCCGATGGCATGCTATTTTCTCAGAGGCCATTTGCATGATTCAATCCGTTCTGCGTAATTTTGAATTACAGCTCTGTATAGTTCAACAGACATTTTATCAATAACTTTACGAGTACGGTGCTCCAGGCTGCACACTGTGTTCGGAGATGTTTGATATGCATTGTCCTTCACATAGCCTCCCGAAAAAATTTAGGGCGAGTCAAATGGCGGACTCGGGGGTGGCACTGACTGTTGCTACCGTTTTATCGAAAAAAAGACGTACCACACAGTGACTTTTTTTCGACTCTGACCCTTGAGTTCTCGCTATATGCGATCATTTTGTTCATACGTATAGCCATTTATTGTAAAATGAGATTCATCGTATAAGATCATGTGATCAAAGATGTCACTGACACGTGCCTTATTCTCCAACATGTGATCAGCGAATAAACGTTGCTTGTGATGATCTTGGATATTTAATTGTTGAGTTAACAGTACCCTGTAAGGATAAAGAGGCAGTTCTTGGTTTAAAATAGACCGCAAAAGGCTCCGGGATAGACCGAATTGTTGAGCGCGACGTAATGTTGAGGTTGTTGTATCGATATGCAGACTACTTTTTGCTGCAATGGTGTTCGTCCAGCTTGTGGTATTCCTGACTTCACTTTATGTGAGGGTAAGATGGTCTCTTCGAATTCCTTAATCGATAGCTTTAATATTTCCTTCGCCAACAAGAACTATCGCGGGTATTCTGTACACATTTGCAGTGTATCACCGTAATGGAGTCCCCATTTCAATACTAAATTTTTATAAAAACAAACGTTGTTTCAAGCTGTAGCTTTTTGACATCGTAAATCCATACATTGCTGTGTTCGTCGTTCTCTAAACTGCTAGCTCTCGCTTCTTTGCAAGGGAAAAAGGTGAATTTTTTTTACACTTTTAACTTAACCTATGAAATAGCCAAGCTCGCACCAGTTTAGTAAGAAACAAACCTTATAAACTTTTTGTATAATCAAAATTTGTTTTTTTCAAGCGTTATAAGATGTGATCTCGTAAAGTAAAAGAGAGCTTAGTCATTTTTTCGTATTTCATTAGTGTTCCCAAACATAGTGTATCAAACAAATTCTTAAATAGATCTTCTTATTTTTAACTGATCATTATATTACAGGAAAATCGAGATCTCTACCTTTCTAACTTAAGTCGCTTGTGTCTCGTCTGTCTCCCATAATTAAATGCACTTACTAAAATTATGTATCTACCGTAGCAAAATAATTGTATATTTTTTTTATTAAAGCTTATAACCAAAGAGCTCCATGACCGCAGATTTGTACGGACCACAAATGCGACATCAGCAAGAATCCGGAAAGCTGTTTTTCTATTTAACATTTGCTCATAATGTTCACCCTACAAAAATTATTTTACACAAAAAAAGAAAACTAGATTTAAGGTTCTTTATGGCAAGCTGGGATTTAATCCAAAATAAAAATAGCGTTTCTTGAAAAGGTTTATGAGTCTTTATGATACGTTTTAGCATGGTACGTCGCATAGTTAGCCTATTTTTAGTTCAGTTTCGTGTTCTATCATAATATATTACTCTCAACCTTACAACTATTAGAAGTTTCTTTTTAGGAATTTAGTCTCAATTTAGGAATTGCTGATATCTGTGACCATAACCGCCTGTGAATTGAAATATATATAATATAAGCTTTTCTAAAAGCTTCTGGTTCAGCCTTTTGTAATGTGCCATTATCTGAGTCACAGTCTGTAGAGTATGGGGGAACAATAGACAAAACGAGGAATAGTTGGATTTTTTATTTGCTGCAGGCCACTACAGTAGCAGTTCTGCAACACTTTGTTTTCAAGAATGTGGAGCAATCACGTGTAGAGTGTAATATTAAACATGCATTTCGCCGTGACGTCTAGGTGACTAGTGATAACTTTATTTGGATCAAATTTTTTAGCTGTGTTATTTTGCCTAACCTAGGAGAAAATTTAATAAATGTAGAATAAATTTTACAAGCAGTGATTATGTTTTGCAAATTTTATTACTATGCTCTGTGGGAGCTGCTCCCGATTGTTGCCAACAATAAGAGGAGAAAACCTTTGTAGCTTTTAATGCCCCAGCTGTCGCTCTCGTAATATTTTATTGAAATAAGCTTATCATAAGGTAACTAAACGTCATGTCGCAGACGTCTCAGTGGACCTATATTGTGAAACATACAGGCCTATGCTTGAATTGGCGTGGTCTCTATATTAAAATGCCATTTAATGCCCTGTTGTTGGATCTAGGTGTCGCAAAGGAAAAGAAAACCGATTTATTTTTATTTCTATTTATTATTCATTTAGAATTTGAAAGGTCGGGCAATTCGGTTGACTATTTAATCAACAAAAAACATTTTATGCGGCTTTCTTTTACTATTTATCGCTAAGAATTACTTCTCCGAAGAAATCAAGAAAACCTGGGAGTCTAATAAGAAAAAAAAAAGATTTCTTCGGTTTATTCGGTATCCATGGGTAGTAATGATATGCACAAATTATGTTGTTCCAGGCGAATCCAGTGGACTATTGAACTGAATAACTTTTGTTGGTCTGAAGTGATGATTCCTTTATATGTATTAGAGGTACTTTCTTTTATTTTTATGCGCTTGTCCTAGCCTTCTGGTAGGTTTTGAACAGCTATAAACTTAATCGTTAGCGTTTCCATACGCAACTTCTAGAATGGATTAATGTATATTGTGATGGGCTAAGCCGTTAGTTGGAGGTTGACAATGTATCAGCTAAGGGCTCTGGCTTTTATACATTAACTACGTCCGAGCTGGTGGCTCTTTATGATTTATTGATCTTTAGTGTCTATATTAGTCTAGTCGAGCAACTATGCAACTTTTTCATAGCATTCACGTAGACCCTTCACAGTTCCGCCCTTTGTAAGTCAGATTGTCTAACTAGGACAATTCTTGATCGGTCACCGCCTTCGCGGCTATGCATTGTCGCTATAGTCCTCCAGCGGCCTTAGCACCTTTATACTTCCGCTTATATTCCTAGTACGCTTTCGGCTTCTTCCTAGCACGAAGTCTTTACGGTCCGAATTTGGCCAATTTGTAGAGTGTGCAGCTGCTTGCTTCCGGTGCAGCACTCTTCTGCTTTCTTTTTTTCTATCAAGTCTTCTTCCACAGACAATAGTCCTTCGCGGCCGCGCCTGTTTTCATTCCTCTCTTCGACGACGGCTACCATATAAGCCACGATTTTACGTCGCTACCGGTACTAACGGTTACAACGAAAGTAGCTTGCATCTGTCGGTGATATGGCCATCAACTAAGAGGTATACAATTGACTTCCGCGTTCCCGGTCTAGTCCTCCATACTCTACCATCGACCATAAATCGGGCGGGCGAACACTTGGCTCATCTAAAGATTTATTGGTTCGGTTGGTTGTACAAGCCTAGTCGAAGAATTCGTCGCTGCCACCGAATTTTCAAGGACTAGGCCGTTGATCTTAGGCTGGTAATGGATCGGCTAGGGCTTTCTATGCCCTGACTGAATCCAAACTAGCAGCTGCTTAATATTAATTTTCTTAGTCGTTACAATATATATGCCGAAAGTTCCCAGTAATATGATTTTGGTAAATGCAGTAGACGAATTTAAAGTTGTGGCTTCAACTGCGAAAAGTTGCTCTAAATAATTGTACTACAGTAGTACACGTTATATTCTTTTATTGATTTATATGGTACCTTTATTGAAGAGACAATGTATCCTTTCAGGTGTGGGATATCTTATTCGCCCAATCTCACTCACTAAATCTGTCGGCGGTGGAAGACAAGACACATGACCTCCTTTGGAGGCTCGAAAACTCTCTTCTTGATAAAGTTACCCCTAAGGTAATTTTAACCAATCTTCGAAGAAGTGTTAGGAAATATTTACGGTTGATCTTGCTCCTTCTTATGTATTCTGCAATAATAGCACAGACTGAATAGTGAAAAATAAGACACCTTGAGTTGTATATTTCTCTTTTTATGGTCAAGTTACGCTCCTTTTTAGACTGCATATTACTACCACTGTTCTCGCCATCCCGTTTAGATCTTCTTGATGGTGGACTGCTGCTAATGATTATAAAATAGAGAAGATTTTAGGAATTGAGTTTAAATATAAAATGTCTTAGGAAAAGCAAGTTTAAGGGCGTAGGTATAAAAATGCTACGATGGCAAAGCGGACGCTGCAGAAACCAGTAGAAGGTTCTAAATATCTTTAGCTAAAGCTTAGCTATTTTTTAAATGATTCAACTTCTCAATAGCAGATTAATTCTGAGTTACGTTTCACCAGTGTGAATATAATTAATTTCCCCAGAAATATCTTAAAATGATCTCTACCGGTCAGGAGTCGTACATTTTATCTCTCGAATAAAATATTAAAAAAGAAAAAAATAAGTGAACTTTTGTTGTCCGCCTGCGATATCCTTCAGATAGTGTAGAGTCAAGTTGATTCTGCTATGACGACATGGTCATCTCGCCATTGCCATCCTGAATAGTATAGAGTTGCATAATTGTACCAGTAGCAATTGATTTGACAGTAGCTTAATTTAAATTTGTTTAGTGTGGTTTTTTTTTATGTACCGCACTAATTATTGCGGCAGTGGGTTAGAGAAATCTGTTATAGAATGGATAGCAGTCAGGAGTTGGTTTGGCATAGGATAAAAGCCCGCAGCTGAAACAAAAAGAATTTATTGACTTCTAGACCACGTATTCTGTGGTCTTTACTTCAATAAGTCTGCTACGCTACAACTGATCTTTACGTTCACACACAATGCATGAACAAGGTCTTTTCATGTTGGCCGTTATTTTAGGTAATGGTGGAAGCTAATTTTATATATATGTTACTAGTAGGAAGTATAACGATGTTTAAGCTGAACAACCGTGCCTCCACCTAAAAAAACAGAAGGTCGCTAGTTCAAGTGCGGTAAACGACATATACTATACAACCTGTGTAAGCAAAAAAAAAAGTTATGGAAAAAGATAGGGCAGCAAACTGATATTCAAAATATTAACAACTCGAAATGATAGTAAAAATCACTGAACCTAAGGTGAGGATCGAATCTTGGATCGCGTATTCATTGATCAGGCGTCCTACACGCCTCCAAAGGCGACAGATAAAATTTTAGCTTGCGTGCAATGCTTCTTAACATTTTTTTGAAAGTGAGTTAGCTCTTTAGGAAAACTAAGCTCGGAAACTAAATTTTGAGGTACAAGCCCTTTTTAAAACCAGTAACACGAATCGATTTACAGAATATCGCCAAAAAGCTAGTTGGGTGAACCAAGATTTCTATCTGTCTAAATATCTATTTACTCTTTTAAGCTCCGTTGTTGTATTAAGACCATAGAGTAGTGAAGTAGTAGTTGCGGGTACAAGATAAGCCAATAGTTGACAGAGATGTTGTTTTAACTACAGTTTGGCTTTGTCTCTGCTTTCGAACTGTATACTACAAATATGAGTATAATGGATCCTCAGAGAACTGAAATGTGGTACAGTACAATAATTTAAAATACCAGTGTTACTTCATTACGCTCACGGTGTATATTACATTTCTTTTTCAGCTTTTTAAAACTTGGTGTTAGCTTAGGGAGCGCACAACACTGTAAAATTTTATCTGTGTTAAAAATAATTTCAATTATTCTATTTCTCATTTCATTTTTCGTATTTTGTATTTTAATAATCATCAGTCTTTTACATTTTTGAACATCGAAATTGAACAGCGAAGATTGCCGATTTCCACATAATCTTTATACCTTCAAATGCCTACAAAAAGTGACCGCCAGTATCTGTACATGCTTCTTCAACATAAGTAAAAAAGCTCAATATTGTCATCATTTATCACAATATGAACAGTTAATATTTAATTCTTTATGGCAACAGCACACATTTGAAAGACTAGATTTATCATTCTAGTAGGTAGCCGTGAGGTTCTGGGCGGTATTGGGGTGCAAAAACAATCAGTAGTTTTGGTTGGTTTCATTGTTCCTTCTTGTTGTGCTGTCATTGTACAGGTTGTAGTAATTTCGATTGGCTCCAACAATCTTAGAACGGGAGACTCTCCGCAGACAATCGCGGCTGGAATCGAAGCGTGTGTGCGTGCAGTGAGAACTCATAAGAAGGGTGAAAAACAGCCATTTATTATTGTTATGGTAATTAATATTATATCTATACAATTGTAAATGGCTATTGATTTTTGACGAGTTACTTGTTTAGTATGTTCCGTTATCTTAATAATCTTTTGACCGTCCAGTGCATAAAGAGCGTCAACCATTGACTTAGGTTAGAATTTACATAAAGTCAATTTCTTATTAGTAGACTATCATTCTCTTTCGTATCGCTCTACCTCAGGGTCTGCTGCCCTGTTGTCAGCAGGAATCGCCCTTGCGCGCGTTGGTATCTGAAACAAATCAACTACTTCACGCTGCAACTGAAAACCTTGATGATTGTCAGTTAATTGACGTTAGTTCGATCTTTGTTAAGGTGAGCGCTTAAGTTTATTCATCTATTATCACTAATAGTTCCATATATTTACATATACAATGAATTACATGCCTGGTAGCTAAAATGTTATTATTTTTCGGTCTTCTTTCCAAAAAGTCAAAATGTGATTTCCCTTGTTTTACAGGTTTCGAACAAAAACAAAAACGGCGTAAATCGTTTATACCTTTTGTAGCCCTTCTATCTTTTGTTTTTTTTTTCATATTTATGATCTAGTTTGATAAGTAGTCATAGTAACCCCTTCACGCCCTCCCTTCACGCATAATTTTCGACTGAGAGTTTACCTAATTTGTTCTTACATTATTTCTCATTATCAGTGCTTGACAAAGCCTTTAACAAATTAAACAACTCTGACCAGCGAGTAAAAATGAGACTTTAGACTTATCTCCTGCACCGTTTTTTGTTTATTATTATTAGTGTATGGAATGTGCAAACATTTCATAAAATAAACAATTTACTAAATCCAGGAAAGATGACATGGATAGTTTTCACGTGATTACAAGATCGGTGCAATGAAGTCTCAAATCCATAATATGGCAAAATATGTTAAGTACTGGGGCAGGAGGTGCCATACTTTTCGATCTTGTTCAATTTTTAGCCATAACATTTTAGTTGCGGTCAATATTTAGTTTATTATAGCAAAATTCAGCTTAGGGAGCTCAGCTTTTTATCGATATACTTAAATATTGATACACCCCTCGAAAATACTTAAAAAATACGCACTAAACACCACGTACCTGTACAGATTAATTTAGTCCTTAGTGAGGCTGAGTCTACCCCCGCAAACGCCATTGCAAAAATTTGTGTTAGTTACTTTTCAATGCAAGGGCAGTCTTAGTCCAGACGTGATTTTACCTTTTGTCTTCAAAAAGTCACTTGTGCCACGTATATTTTCCTATTGTCGAAGAGGCTGCTTGTTGCCTACAGTTGAACTTCTGAACATAACACTGGTAAAACATAACCCTAGCGTGTAATATGTTCGACAAATTGACTTTCGTATTCTTCTTAAAAAAATAGTATCTCTTTAGATTCATTTTGGAGTTGTTGCTTGATGTAGGTCATACTTCACAAAATGAATCTTTTTGAACAAAGTCGAAAACTTTTCTCTTGACAGAGCCCTATGGATTTCTTTTACACGTGTGATTTTGAGACAAGGTTAGGTTTGCTACTAGACGTTACCTACATACAATGTACACAGAAGTTTTGAATAGCAAAAATATAGTGGAAATTCAAAAAGAAAGTGACAATATTTTCTTTTAGTGCGACAAACTGAAGGAAAATACCCGTCTTGCCACTCAAGAGACTGCTTTTAACAGTACACTGCACAACTTAGATCAATAGGCTATAAAGGTAGTGGATATTTTTTTTGGATTTTTTGGATAGATTTTGGGATTTAAATTTGATAGGCAAATAAAATTCCAAAATCACATTGTAGATAAACCCATAGCTGCCTCTCGTATAGGTAACCTGATCCTTCGGGTATTCTCAGAAAATTTTAAACTAGTTGACCCCTCTAAAGAAATATATTGTCCTAGGGTACGGAAGACTTCTCAGTAAATAAAAGTATAAATGTTTTAACGCTTGCGGGACCCTAAACGTATTTCTCGATAGTGCAACACTTCCAGAGGCTAAGCAGTCCTTCCTACTGTTATTAAATCCCGACGCAGAGTCGGTATTCTAGCACTTAATAATCATAATAAATATGGTGCAATGTAAATGTAGATAAATGTATAGAATATCTGTTCAATTCAGTCATCCAAGGCGGTGACTGCCACTACTGTGTACAATTACCTACACGAACAGGGCTTCTTCAGCTCCCAGATTTAAGTTACTCAATGGAAACTATTATTCCAATTGAGCTTTGCCTTTTTGCAGTGCAATGTGAAATGCTTTTATATTTAAAAAGGGTAATATAATACGAGTACGTGCATTTGTGTCATATTACTTCCGCTTTAATAAAAGAAATGTCTGTATTGTATTTCAAGAAGGCAAAACCGGATTTCAGTATTTGTGATTTTCTTGAATATCCGAAATTGGAAATATGCGTTCAAGAAATTCCAATGAGAAGCTGAGCTCCATTTTTGATCAAGTTGGCGACTTAGACGGTATTGCTCTGAGGCACTCCATATATATATATATGGAAAAAATTATTTAGACTGTAGTTGAACCCGCACTACCGAAGGGAGATCTGAAAGTAATATATTTTAATTCTTGCTAGGGTCAAAGACTGGCTCGCGGTATTTGCGCCTTTTATAGCAAAAACTGCACAAGTAAGGGGCTGCATGAATGTAGTTTGCTATGTTCAAAGATGGACTTGGCGAGCTCATTTCTTATTAACCATCCGAGGTTGACAAGAATCGCTCTAAAGGACCCGTTAATTTGCCAAGAATATGGGCTGCGAACTATCCACTGTGGTCAGGTATCTTGAATCTATGGTATTTTATTAAAAACTAGCAGCCTAGCTGCCCTATAAGCTAGGTGAGGCACGCAAAAAAGCACCGCTGCTCATTGCCTGTAAATATTTATCAGGTATCGAATGACAAGCAACACGCAGTTATAGTGATAGATCTTCACGCATATTTGTCAGAAAGTAATGCCTCTATGTTAATTTTAAGCAGCAAAATTAATAGGGCACTTTCAATATATACGCTTAACCCAAAGGAATGAGCAAGATGGCCGATATGGAGCTATATATAGCTCAATTGCATCCAGTATACGAACTTATCTGAAAGCGCGACTTAGAGAATCTTTTACTGTCAGCCATTGAGTGTATATGATGTTGAAGCGTTGTCTCCACTTCTAATCACTGATCAAATTGATAGCAGTACATTTGGCATTAAAGAGGGTTTCAAAAATTCTTTAGAAAAAAGAATTCTTTAAAACTAGACCTGAAATGTTTTGACTTGATAAAATAATTAGATCGGTTGAGAGATAAAAGAGTGGCGGCAAATACATTAATAAAGTATGGGAAGGTTTAAATAAAATACTGCTTTTTGTTAGGTGAAAGAAAACCGCAAATACTTCTAACTAACACAATATTATGTTTTCATTCAAGGAGGATGGTTCAATCTCGCATACGGACATGTTTGATTTCTTTCATCTTACCAAGTATGGATACTACAAGGCATTCGAGCCAGTGCATGATCTCGCTTCTCAAATTCTCCAGGAAGCTTACGGGATTAAATTCACTAAGAGCACAGATCGACTGTGTGATATGGACGGTGCGGTTTAAACTGTAAGTGTAACAGAGGAATAACTTGTATTAGGTATAACGGGCTCCATGATAATATATACACAATACAGTATGTAAATTTTTGAATTTAATGTAGAGACCGTTAGAAATACAATATTAATTCCGAGTGAGTATTTGGCTACAACTACGTATAGTGACTGAGCAACTTCAGCTTAAAACAAGGAACGTGCCAATTACTGCAGTAGGGTATTGTTCCCTCAATAGATCAGGACATCGTGACAAACAAATTAATTTGCTCTAACTACTTCAAGAATCACGAAATAGATCTCCTTTATAATAAGCAAAACTTGCCAGATCACTTTAACGTCGTATGCAATGTTTTGCTAATATTTTCAAGTCAAGTGTTTGATGTCTTGGGTTCGCGGTTGTCGTTGAATATGATACATAATGAAATGATGGAACTGAAGCATAGAGTGAGCATAAGTATTTTTCTATAAGAACTCTATAAACTATTTTTATAACTAAAATTTCGAAAGTAGTAATTATTATCTGCTTTTATATTTAATGTATCCTAAAGTAGCGACATAATATAACAAAATATAGCTGCAATCCGGTTAAAACTTACATGTTTTCTCGAAGTCGAAGTGTGTTTCACTTTGAATTACAATTTCAGATGTTGTTGAATTGCTATATTTACATTCCATTTATCTTATACATTCGCATCTTCAACAATATTAGGTTTGTTAGTTTTCTTCAAATAGTGTTATCTTACTAGTGTTTGCTTTATATTTTAAGTATCAAATCCTTTAATAAAATGTTCGCTTTGAAAACGACCCTTTGCTGTTACTGTAGCTACAAGCTACTGCTGAAGACACAAAAATACCCGCTAGTATCTAGCATGTATTGGATATGGGGTACTGTTGCCAGGAAGCACATGCTTGAGCAATCATTTACTGTTGAACGATTTCGGACCTTTGAACTCAATCGGCTGCGCATCAATATTACAAATTATAGCAACAAAATAAACTCACCCTTTTAAGATTATTAGTAAAATGAATGAAACAGCGAAGACCTTTGATGAAAATGATGAAAACTTAGTTTCGATATACAAGACTATTTAATAAATATGAATGTAATGATAATAGAACCAAGGTTAGACAACTTGATGATTATTACAAACGTCAGTTAAATATATTAAGATTTACATGCGGAACACATGCAATGCTGACGGTGATATATATATATATGTCTATATATAATATCCTGTCAGGTAAATCAAACAACTCGATATCATGAGCCATGAAATATATATCAAAGAAGTGAAATGAAACAAAAAATGAAAAATATCATGATTGGAAATAATTGCAGAGATATGGCATCTTTCATCAGCATCCAAATCAGGGCTTTAAGTATAATGGTTATCCATACTACCTTTTTTACCTAAAATTATCTATAGTTACGAACTAAGTAGTGGGTAATAATTTGATAGATTTTTATTTCACACTAAAGTAGAAAATTATGTTTCATTTACTGTCTTCGACTATAAAGATTCAACACAAGCGGCATAAAACATAAGTTTTACATATAATAAACATGTGAAGAAACCAATTATAGTTGTGTTTATTTATGAACGGAGCTTGTTCGTACTAATCAAGGTAACCGTGACGAATCCTACACAATAAAAGATATTCGTACTTGGGAACCATTTTTCGTAAGCGGGCAAATTGCATCCAATTTGTTGCGGATAAATAGTTTGTCCGACTGCTCTTAATAGTTCATCGATCTTTCTGTAACGAGCTTGTCAGCTAAACAGACGAGTCAAGTCGAAGTGAAAAATTCTTAGGTACTACTAAAACTATGAAGAAGCAAAGTAACAAGGACGCTCGAAGAGAAAGGGGTTATATTCTTTTATGGGGAGCATAGAGCAAATCATAGAAGGACAGATATGTTTTAGCGGAGGCAACAGTTTTCACCAAAAAGTTATGTAAAACGGTGGACAGTAGCTGTTCATCGTTCAAAGTTCGAATTCGTAATATATACATATTTGTGAAAGACTACGCTGGTCACCGGCAACTGACAGTATGTAGTTAGCGGCTGAAGTTTTTATACTCTAATTATGTCCAAACCATGTTGCTTATTGTTTTCCTTTTGGACCGTAACAGCGTGTAGATATAAACAGCAAACGTACAAGATTCGTATTCGAAAAAGAGCACGGGTTCGCAATAGTCCAATGTCATGTAGCGGAACGAACTCCTCCGAAGTGATGACTTTTCTTGGTTGCTCAAAATCGATGACCTACGTTGTTGGCAGTTTCTGTACAGCTTATGAGGTATATGATAGAGATTTCTATGATTCAAAACGGAAGATCTTTAATAGGATTAGGCTTAAAGAAATTAATCACGATATAATTTTGGGATTTTAAGCAGAAGTCTATCACGGCTTCAGCTGTATCTCTACACTCAATCGATCATCTTTTTTAGAATTTTTGGGGTACAATAAACTTTTTAGAGATACCGGAAGCCTAAAGACATGATTTATCATGTGTGTATAAGATATATTTTGTTCGGTAGAACATGGTGCATATCTTGGCGAGGTATTTCTTGTAGCAAACGTAGATTCATTCACTATTTTTTTGTTATTGTTACACGAGTGTTTAACATGTGTTCATTTTATGACAAAACCGCAAATCATCATGAAAGAGGCAAGAGGTTTGTTGTCTGAATCGGTTCGTTGTGTTATGCTACGTGCGACTTTAAAATACCTGGCGTCGACGGTTCGTCCTGTTACCATGTCTTTGTACATGTTGAAAAGTCCCATATGCCGATGCAAAGATTCCGCAACAAAATTATTTAATTGAGACAAAAGTTCGGTAAAACAAGCACACTAATTGTATCGAGCGCTACGGATATGTATATGGTGGGGGTGTGTATGGGGTGTGGTGTATTTAGCTTGTTCGGAAAGAAATGACGTTCCTTTCGAATGTTCGTCTTTTTCTCCACATTTGTTTCGTCAGATTCAAAGACAGCAATCGGTGTGATCGGCATGGCCAGTGCGCATCTCTTTAAGTACGCTATCATGGTAACTATGAATATGTGGTCATTATTAATTCAAATTTCAGCGTTGGCAAACGGCATATTATTTCTATGCCGTTTTACACGTGCATTAAAGACACATGCAAATGCGTCCAACAAGACGAGTGTGTAATGTAGGAAAAACAAAGGTTAAAACAAAGGAAACATGGCTGCTTATTGTTCCCGAAGGTCTCACGCGACATCGACCAACATTGCAAAGAAATAAGTCTGCGATAGAACTATAGTTTATATTTGGCTAGGTGTACGGCAGACCAAATGTTTTTTTCGCCAGTAGTGTTTAGTCTACTAACAGTGATTTTGAGTTTTTTTTTTAAAGATATGTTTAAGGGAAAGTTATAGGAAAGGATGTGAGCTACATTTTAATGAGAATTTTTGAAATTTTTTCTGACAAAATGGATAGTGACCTTTTTACATGTCTATGTAAAGTATTTCTTAGCACCAGCTGAGAAATTAGGCCGGAAATTAAATTAAGGTGTTATAGATCTTCCTATAACCAAATGTCAATCTCCAAGTCGAACATACTATTTGAAAAAGATAAAAACGGGTCGGCAATACATGCTTTTTTCTTAAAGTGAACATGCCGCCGTGAAAGTAACGAAAACCTAAGTGCAACATGTATCTCCTTCCTGTAGCAATGGGTTAAAAATATATTTCAAAGAAATTGTGAATGTTTTTTTAAAGAATTTTTAATACATATTGACTGGAAAATTGGAGTAATTTGGATAACATAACTGTTTACCGAAATATTCTATAGTTTTTTTTCTTTACAGAAGTCGACTAGAATACTGAAAATACAATACATATTTCTATACCTAAAATGAATATTTCGTCATGAAAAGTAAACAAAAATTATATATGGTTTTACATGGAAGTCTATGTAAAGGGTGAATCAACATTTAATTTATGTTGTCGTATCTAAATCTAAATGCTGGCGTCGATAATACTGTTTAAAGAGCATTAAAGAGCAAGTTAACAAAGTATTCTACGTGAAAAGATATCTCATCTACAGGTCGACGAGGCAAGCAAAAATGGAATACACTTCTCTACATTTTGTGGTAAGGTGTTTGATTCATGAGGCCATTTGGGTGGCGTCAGTTGTCCTTTTCCGCGTGATAAGCGACTTGAGTCGTGAAACATAAACGATCTGCTGACTTTGTCTAATTCCGGGTAACAGCACATTGACCACCAGTTCAGTTTCTAAATTTGCTGAATCAGCTACCTGAATCATGATGTACGGGCCGAAATACTGTTTTTACATTGTGTGATAGACCAAACGTAGACGATACGAAAAGTTTAACGAAATCGCCAACGTTGAATGTTAATTTGTGTGTTTTGATTGCATGGAACTTTGTTCATCTTTTTTTCATGATCGGCCGGGCTTAATTTTCACATATGCTGAGTGCGGTCGGTTAAATGGATGAAGGAGCCATCTATACAGCTAAATCGATTTGTAGGCGCCTGTAGAAACTATAACCAGAATGTCGAGTTAGCTTTTCTCGTATTGAGCAAGAAAGACGGCGAGTGTTTAATAGAATGCTAAGGAGTGATGTCATATTAGTGGACTACAAACGAGAGAACTATTTCAGCCGCATTATTGTTCACTGACGAGCGTGCTGATTTGGGATCATTATCTGATTGACTAAAAAAAAAAGACGTCGTCTGCTCATCCGCTCAGATAATGTCGCCGCCACTTAGTACTTTCCAAGAAGATACATGGTGGTGCCTATCACCCAATTTTCGTTCTTTGCCTCATTGAATGAGACTAGATCGATTTCAGTGATATCAAGAGGGATCTCTGGAGATAGTATATGTTGTATAAGGCCGAATTTAATTAAAACTATATCTTTTGTTCGGCCCTCTAAGCCCAAATAGACAAAACGTTCAGTGTTTCGATGTGCTTGGGGTAAATACGTTTGCGTTATTCAAACGTGCGTCTATACTAGGCCCATA